GGGGTGGATGACAGAAAACGAATTTTGTATTTTTCTGGAGCATTTTGCAAAACATTGTAGGTCATCTAGAAAAACTGGTTTTACTGTTACTCGAGAACCATGAGTCACATCTTTCAGTAAAAGGCATTAACTACTGCAAAGAAAATGGCATTGTTATGATCTCCATGCCCCCGCATTGTTCACACAAACTACAACCATTAGATCGATCTGTCTATGGGCCTCTGAAGAAATATATCAATACCAGTTGCGATTCCTGGATGCGCAAGAATCCTGTCAAAACAATGACAATTTATGACGTACCTAAAATTGTTAAAGATGCTTTGCCTTTGGCTTCCCCGTTAACAGAAACATTTTCACAGAGGATGAGTTTCTTCCTGCAGCTGTTACAGATCGTCCCAATCCAAATATTAAAAAACAAGTTCCAAACCAAGACGAAACCCAGCAAGAAGCTCAGTTAACTGAACAAGAAAAAGCTCAATTAACTTAACGGGAAGAATCTCAAATAACCCCTCCAAATTCGCCGGTTGTGATAAATTTACCTTCAGTTTTAAGAGAGGTTAACAAAGAAAGAGATGATTTACAAGTCGAGGATTTCTCTGGACGCTCTGGAATAAAATCGTACTTATCTCCACAGGATTTGTGCCCAACGCCCAAGGCAGAACCACGAAAAAGAAACAGAAAAGGACGAAAACGGAGCCGCGCTGCCATTTGGACTGATACACCCAATAAAGAGGAAATTGAAAACGCATACAAAGAAAGACAAATGAAACAAACTAAGAAAAAGGCAAAGCAATCAGGCACAAAAAGAAACATTTGTAAAAGTAAATCCAAACATATTCCATCAAGCAGCTCTGAGGATGAAGAAGTTTTTTGTCTTATTTGCAGTGAGCCATTTTCAAATTCTCGTCCAAAAGAAAAATGGGTGCCATGTACGGCGTGCTCAAACTGGGCCCATCTAAAAATCCATTTTTTATTTGCTTAAACTGTAGTTCTGATGATGATATTTAAATATGGGGCCTTCACAAGATATTGTCACAACCAACGCCAGCATTGTAACAACCAACCCCGAAGCGGGGTAAGTTGTGACATTCTGCTTTTCTTGTTTATATTAATAATAACTTTATTTTTATTAGCTTTTAAGGTTTGATTTTTATGTTTTTTATGCACAAAAGCTTAAGTAATAAATATACGGTAAAATGAAATTTGTGGTATTAATAGGAAAAAATTAAAAAATATATTTATAAAAATCGTAACAACCAACCCCGGCCTCCCCTACATTTGCGATTATTGCAAGTAATAAGCTAGTTGATTTATATTTTCATATTTTTTATTACTTTTTGTCCATTTATTTGTGTTCTTTAGGTAAGTTTTAGCTCATGTAAGGTGTAAGGATTAACTGCAGGTATTATGGAATACACATATGGAATACGCTATTCCATAATACCTGCACGTTGCCTCGATAGGCCAAAATGCACATTTTTTATTAGATTGTAAATATTTTTTGTTCTGTTCGTTAGAATCTTACCTAAGTCCTTCTGTACCTTTTGAAAATATATATTCCTTAACCGATTTGCTTTGTTTTCAATGTAATTGGACCTATAATGGATTTTTTACAATTTTTTAAGTAAATGCTATTCCATAATACCTTCCTTTCCTCTACTTAAAAATTCGGTTAAATTTTAATTATTGAGATCACCAAGTATGTAAATTAAAATTAAAGAGAAGACCTTGAAGGGTATTTTGAGATTAGTTTATTTTAAATCGATTTCAACATTGTTTGGAACCAACCCACTAACTATGAAAAATCTAGATTTTTCTAAAATAATCTATTACGAACAGTACCATTTACTGTAAAAAAGATTCAAGTCACATTCTTGTACCTAGTGCCATCTATTGGCCAATGAACCAACCCACTAAACAAGTTAGGCAAGCAGACTGCCTGCAGAAGCGATCCAGGCGGCTTGATTCATTTCTGCCGATTAGACAGTTGATGATTTGATTCAGTGTATATGTTTTGTGATTTGATTGTTGATTATTGTTTACAAAAGTGGCTGATAAAAATAACCAAAATAAAATTATGCCGAAATAACTAATAATGTAGGTGAATACAAAATGCGCATGTTGGCAATATGCCCACGGCCTATAGTTCGATTATTTTGCGAAATATAGCAGCACATACCGTACGCATATTTAGCGGTTATCCTAACGCCATATTAGAGTCGACAATCCAGTCAGTTGCAAGCGAATTAACCCTTAAATGCGTAGCATAGCATATATGCTACGCTTTTCAATTAACTGTTATTTCTGATTATATTCCATGCCTCGACTCGTAAATAGGGTACCTATTGTATTGTATCTTCTATACTGCGGCGATCACACACTTTCAAGAAAAGGACCATACCCCGCCCGGCAGCGGGCACCCGGGCTGGTCGTGTCAACAGAATCATTCTTTTGTAGTGTGTAGTGTGTCGAACGCACAACACGGTGCGTTTCGGTGTTTACCGTTTTTTAACTAAGCGTAAGTGGCGTACGGGGTACGCGCGTTTAATGATATTATGTCAAAAGTGCTAGTGGGTGATGTTGAACGGGACAAGATAAGGAAGTTGGAGAGACGATTGAGGAGGATGAAAGAATCATGTCGTGAACATGATTATGAGTATTCCTGCCGGGAGCAGTCACATAAAAATAAAGACCGTGAGTCTAGGAAATCACGTCGAGTACATAGAAAGAAATTTTCCACCCCGTCGGATTCGCATTCAAGCAGTTCGTCCCCGGTTAGGTCTAAGCGATTCCGAAGGATCATTTCTTCGGACGACGAGTCGAGTAGCTCGGAGGAGAACAGGAGGGTTAATGATTTTCCTCCCTTGGACACATTGGGAGATGACCTTTTATGCTTATTAGGTCCCAATCTAGCTAAGACCGAAAACAGGGGTTCGAAAATTTGGCCAGAATTGGCAGACCGATGGATGGCAATCCTTACACAAGGTTTATCTACGGAGGATCGAGACTCGATTATAGCGGAATATCCTATTCCAGGCAACTGTGTCAAATTGAACCCACCTAAGCTCAATGAAGTCGTCAAGGCTGCATTCACAGATTCAGCAACACGACGAGACATACGTCTAGCTCTATTACAAACTCAAGTGGGAGCTGCTATCACCGCTCTAGGATTGGCTCTCACAGACCTATTACAACAAAATGAAGAGGAAGCCAATCGGATAAATATAAAGAGACTAAGTGATGCAGGTCGTCTATTAGGAGATCTTTTTCATTCGGAATCAAACTCTCGTAGAGAGCTGCTACTATGGTGCTTAACAAGGAGTTGAAAGATACCCTCGATGAAACGGTTATAACAGAATGGCTCTTCGGTGATGACTTGGAGGAAAAAATGAAGGCATCAAAGAATATGCAAAAATCCGGGCAGGAACTAAAGCATCAAAAACCAAAACCGTCGAAAAATTTAAACTCCAAACGTCTGCCCAGAACTACGTTTGGAACTCGTTAGGGCAGACAACAAGTACAACAGTCCCAAGGCCAGCGCTACAGACCCTGGCAACAACAAGATCTCCGGCGCCGACAGTACTCGGACAAAAGGAACCAGCCATTGATGTCCAAGAGACGGGACACGCAGATTTAGAGTCCCAGGTGAGTGAAACCGCAGGACGGCTAAGACTTTTTCATGAGCAGTGGAAGCTTATTACATCTGATAAATGTATATTATCGTTTATTAAAGGGCTGACTATACCCTTTCGTAAAATGCCCTGTCAAAAAATTGTACCCAAAGAACCAAATTGGTCTCCCAGGGAAAAAAGGCAATTGAAGCATTGTTTAGTCGATCTTTTAAAGAAGGGTGTCATAAAGAAAGTTAGGCAATGTAAGGAACAATTTATATCAAACATTTTTCTAACCCCAAAAAGTGACGGTTCCTCCAGGCTGATTTTAAACCTAAGATCGCTTAATAAATATATTAAGAATACACATTTTAAACTAGAGGACTATAAAACTGTTATGAAACTCATTAAAAAAGATTGCTTTATTGCCACCCTAGATTTAAAAGATGCATACTTTTTAGTATCCATTAATAAAAATCATAGAAAGTATTTGAGGTTCTATTTTAAGGGTATTTTATATCAATTCAATTGCCTACCTTTTGGCTTAAATTGTGCACCGAGAGTGTTTACGAAAATTATGAAGCCTGTTCTTTCCCTTTTAAGAAGCAATCGCTTAATTTCAAATCTATATTTAGACGATTTTTGTCTTTTTGGAGACACTTTTGCGGAATGTCATAATAATGTGTTAGTAACATGTGATGTTCTTAACAGATTAGCCTTCATGATTAATTTTAACCCTAGAACCACAGCGTGGCGTCGTGGATGACCGGTTTAAAATATTTCAGTTGTTTGCCCCCGGACTAATTGCAGCCGAAGATCATGCGTCTCAGTATCTTCCTTATTTGGTGTACGGAGCATGTGGAGGAGTGTAGAAGTTTTGTATCGTGACTGAAAGCGTTGATATCGAGTGTACGGTCGTCTGCGACGCCACGTTGCTGTTAACGTTAAGGCGCGTCCAGACATGTGTAATGTATCGTGTAATGTAACGCGAATTCTCCGTTTGGACGGTACTGCGAGCATTACGTGTAACGCTCGCCGAATGGTTCGAGGAAATCCATCGGATGTCGGTTTTTTGCCCGAACACAAAGGCGCTCGCGCTGAGCTCGCAGTCTACGTTTGGACGTGATTCGAGTTGTATGTGTTATTGCGACATCAAGCCCTAGTTCGGAATAAATTAATAACGTCTATAAATCGTATTTAGTGTTAGTTGAGGTGTTATTTTTAAAATGTGGAGTGAAGAAAAGTCACTAGAGTTAATTGAACTGTACAAAAATCAGTCAGTCTTGGAATCCGAAAGACCCTACATATTTTAAAAAACCATTAAAAAATGATGCTTGGCGAAAAATTGCAGACTCTCTGGGGATAGAAGCAGAAGAGTGCAAAAATAAAATGATTAGTTTATTTGCATCCTATCGCAGAGAGAAGGCGAAAGTAAAGAACCACCTAGGAACCGGAAAAGGTATGTTTATCCCTTAATTAAATACTTAGTACCTACGGTAAAATCTTAATCCGATTTTTTAAACTTGGCTATTATCTTTTTTTTTTTAAATTTACTACGTTATTAATTCGAAATTATTCACATTGACAATACTATAGATAATAGCAGGTGGGAGACAATAGCCGCTGCTCATAGAATATTTGTGGCACGAGATGTTACGACATTGCCACACTTCTCAGACGTCATAGGCACCTCCCACCCCGCTCACGTAGCGCCGTTACAATCGGCAGTTTGGTTTGGAAGTAAGAAGTGCAAACACGTTTTCGTACCTGGAAAGTGAGTTTATTCAGTTTTCGACATTTGATCTCTGTTCTTTACTGTGGATAGATTCCAGCACGCCACTTATATACACCGTAAGTGTAATTATTCTAGTCATATTTACGACAGCCAGCTTTTATTCAAGTGTCATAGCTTTTTTTTAAATTTAATAACTGGTAGTATGGCGTGGAGTGGGAGACATTACCCTGGCGTTGGGAGGAGACTTTACCCAGAGTAATCTCTCCCTCTCTGTCAGGGTCGTTTCTCCCGCAATAAATTTTATTCATTTTATTTCAGAGAATGCCCTTCAACTATAGAAAAAAACAAACAACTAGAAAGAGAAGCAATTTAGATCTGTCAGTAATAAAAAATGCTTTAGGTGACATTGATCAAGGAAAGTCTATCCGAGGTGTTGCTTTGGAATATGGAATTGACAGAAATACCTTAAGAAATTATTTAAGAGACAGGTCTAAATTGACTAAAATAAGTGAACAAGGAAGCCAGTTTAAAACATCTATGATATTTACAGTCGAAGAAGAGAAGGCGCTTGTTGAATATCTTATAGCTTGCAGCAAAATGAATTATGGATTAACCAGACAGGCGACTATGCAGCTAGCATATGAATATGCAACAATGAATTCCAAAAAGGTTCCAGATTGTTGGACTTCCAACAACTGCGCAGGAAAAGATTGGTTCCGGGGATTTATGACAAGAAACCCTGAACTAAGTTTGAGAACCCCAGAAGCCACCAGTTTATCCAGATCAACCAGCTTCAATAGAAAAAACGTTACTGATTTCTTCGAGAACCTCAAAGAAGTTAGAGAAAAATACCAATTTGAAGCACATAACATCTATAAATGTGATGAAACAGGGTGTACGACTGTACAAGAGTGTCCCAAAGTAATAGCGAGCAAGCATATGCGTCAAGTAGGACAAGTTACTTCAGCTGAACGCGGCAGCCTTGTGACCGTTTGCTTCGCTGTGAACGCTCTGGGAAATGTTCTTCCTCCATTTTTCATTTTCCCTAGGGTTAGATACAACGAATGCTTTGTAGCTGGTGGGCCTCCAGGCTCACATGGTGACTCCTATCCTAGTGGATGGATGACAACCAAGAGTTTCGTAAAATTCATGGAGCATTTTGTGAAATATTCGAACGCATCTCTTAATAACCGAGTCCTGCTTATCCTCGACAACCACGAAAGCCATATCAGTGTTGAAGTCGTTAAATATGCAAAATCAAATGGAGTCACTTTGCTGACTATACCCCCCCACTGCAGCAGAAAGCTACAGCCATTAGATGTTTCCGTCTATTCATCTTTCAAGACTAGATATAATTCAGCCATGAATAACTGGATGATCAGTAACCCAGGACGAACTGTTACGATCTACAATATACCTGGATTTGTAAACATAATCATGTCGCAGGCTTTTAGTCTATCCAATATTTTGAGTGGATTTCGATCACACCCCTATAACCCGGACATCTTTACAGATGACGACTTTTTATGCTCTGCGATAACAGATAGAGAAATGACTAGTGAACTCCAAAAGCAAGATGTTTCTTCGATTACTTCACCCTCGGTCGCTGCAAAAGTACCATCAGATTCAACCACGGTCGGATTACCTTCAACATCTACTGTACGTCAGTCAGAGCCTTCATCATCAGCATCAGTATTCACGAATGAAACTGCAGCTCCTAGAATCAATTCACCATCAATTTTGACTGCGGAAGAATCCGAGCAAGCAAATACAATACCAAGACGATCAGCAGAGATAGCTTCTACATATAATGTTCTGGATATGACAACGGTAGATTCTGATTCCGGACACACACCAAAAATAGTTTTACCACAAACAATTCGACCATTTCCAAAAGCTACTTCTAGAAAAAGTCTTCGTCGTGGTAGACAGCCCGGAAAAACTAAAATTTTAACAAAAACGCCAGAAAAACTAGACCAAGATGATAAGTATGCACCGAAAAATAAGAAAATTAAAATATCTACGAAAAGGCAAACAGGCAAAGCAAAGAAAAAGACAGTAAAAAGACAAGTTTTACAGTCAAGTGACAGTGAGACAGACCTTGACGAAGAACCCAAGTATGATGATAGTTCTGATAGTCCCTGGGATGAAGTACCAGATGTTACTGATAATTGGTTTTGTTTCATCTGTGGGGAAGACAAAGTTATGGACATGAGACTTTGTGCTGTTTGTGGCAAATATGTCCATGAAATGTGTGTTGGACTATCCAAAGACGATAAGGAGCAGTTTATTTGTCCCAATTGCCCCAATTAAAAAAAGTAAGACTGATGAAGGTTGTTATTATCTTTGCTCTTAATTTTGAGTTATTTTAATTTTTGTTTTACTGACAACATACAAGGTTTTTAAGTTTAAACTACTTATAAGGTTGACTTCCTGTTTCTGATGGAGAGTATGACTATTTTATAAGTAGATTTTGTTATCTTGTTATGTATTATTTTATTTTTGTTCTTAATTTTGAGAATAACTCTAATTTTTATTTTGCCGACAACGTACAAGATTCCATACCAAAAAATAATTTGTATTACCTACTTTTAAGCTTTAACTACTTATAAGGATTGTTACCTAGTTATGTGAAAGATGGAGTAGGTTCAGGTAATACTATGTGCCATATTTTTTTAATTAAATTTATAGATTTACAATGTGTAATGATTATTTTGCCTAATCCTAAAGTGGAGGGTAAAGGCTCCCTACTCGAGGGGTCAAGTCTCCCACCCATGCGGGGGATATTAGCCGAATGTCACCTTGGCAGAAATCGTTGATAACTCGTAAACTCTTAATGCTACATTAAGCTTTCTTGAGAAAAAATGTAGCTAAATAATGCGTTCTAAGATATAATTTATCGGAAATGAAGATTTGTAAGCGTGTAAAGACTTAAAAGCATTTTAGTGGAAGGTGGGTATACTCTCCCGGACTCCCCCTATACTGTGTTTTGTTACCATTTTTATACCATTTATTTTTATTTTTTGCAGGCAGTCAAGAAATATATCAAAGCACATGGTTTGCCTATGAAGCACTGGCATTTTTGGGAGACAGGGACAATCCAAGAAAAAGACTTAATTCTATGGTAAGTATTTTTTATAAATGCAATAATAAATACAGTTTATAAACTATACATGTGGTATATACTATTTAACAGTATCGATCTTGCCATGGAACTTTTCCCTCATTGCAGAAATAATCAGAAAATTCTTCTCTGATGTGTTTTGCTGTCAAAGGAGCTCTTCGTGGTACATTCCTAAGTGGAAGTAATGAACCTGTGTTTGGTTCATTTCTCCAAGATCCTTCAACAATTTGTCCCGTTTCTTCACGATCGAAAGATCCAAGCGGTGTGTAATATCTTTGTGATTCAGAATTTTTTCTTAAAAAGTTATGTAGATGTGCAATGGTCATAACTATAATCTCAGCGTTTTCGGGTTGGAGAAGTATTGGTCTACGTAAAACTCTAAAAACTGAAGCTATGATTCCGAAAACATTTTCAACAATTCTCCGCGCTCTGCTTAAACGGTAATTGAAAATTCTTTGCTTTGAACCTTTAGGAAAATCTCCTGGATATGGTTTCATTATATGTTCAGCTAGTGGAAATGCAGAGTCACTTACAAGAACATAAGGCACTTCTTTATTTCTTCCAACTAAAGTTTCTGCTAGCGGTAAACCCAAGTTATCAGCTTCCAATTTTTTGAAAAAAATTGTATCCTTAAATACCCCACCATCTGATATTCTGCCTTGACATCCGGCATCCACAAATAAAAAATTATATTCCGCATCGACTACGGCAAACATAACAATGCTGAAAAATGACTTGTAGTTACGATATTCAGTTCCACTGTGAATTGGAGCATCGATAATAACATGTTTTCCATCCATAGAACCAATGCAATGGGGAAAATTCCATAGTTCTTCAAACTTTTTTGAGATTTCTTTCCACCCCGCTGGAGTAGTTGAAACCTGAAAATTTGAAAATTATATTTTGTTGCAAGCAGTAGACATCGACGTCGTAAGTAACAGTGTTTCTAGAAATGATGAAAATGATAGTGTGAAGGAATCAGACATGCCAAGAGAGTCCATTTCACATTCGCAACCACCAAAAAAGAAAAGATGTTACACGGAACCTAGAGAAAACAACAAAAAAATTGAAATGCTAGCCGAAGCCCTCGACATACTAAAGACAACGACCACTCAGACTCAACCTGCATCAAATGTTTCATTAGATAACGAAAATCTTCACTTTATTAATTTCATTGGCAGCAAAATGATGAGGTATCCACCAAATGTTCGGAATGCTGTAGAGCGTGCTATAACAGATGTATTATTTAAAGCTGATGAAGGATATTATAATTTTTATCCTAAACAGTACGCACAGCAGTTACAGCAATGGCCTAGCAACAATACGACATGCACTACCTCTCAAACGCCCGCACCTCCCGTACGTGTGGAGGTACCCGCTATTTCCCCATATGGAACGTTTTCTGAGCCATCTCCCGCCTATTCACAACTATCTCAAGAATCTTTCGACATTCAAGATTTGGTGTAAAATTAACAAACATATGTTTCTTATACTAACATTACTATCTAAATTTAAAACTAAATTTAAATTTAAATAAAAGGTAATAAATAAGTATTAAAAACTTACCCGTATATTTTCTTTTATGGCTTCAATAATTGCCAAGCAAACTTCTGGGACAATCAAGGAAATAGATTGCTTTGAAATTCTGAAAATGTATTGTAGACTTGTGTAAGAATCCTCCGTTGCTAAAAATCTCACTGTAAGTGCTAATCTATCTTGAACTGATATAGCAGCTCTCATTGGGGTATCATATTTTCCTACTTTTGGTCCGACTAAAGTAATTAAATATTCAAAATCGATAGGTGACATACGTGTGAAGTTTTTGTATTGCCCACTTAATTCCTGAGATTTTAAATCAATCATTAATTCCGAACCGGCTCTTTTTTATATAATTGTGTTTTCCACCAACGGCGACGACGGCGTGGTTTATTTTCATCTTCATTTTCCTCCACGAGTAAATACGTAGCTATAAATGCAGCTCCCGCAACTACTACCTCCCTCGACATGTTCGCGAATACTAAATGGATAAACAATTCACGGTAAGTATTCTGGTTGCATTCATTCTATGCTCAGGTAGCGTCCAAATGAATTCGCATTACATTACATGTTACATTACACGATACATTACATATGTCTGGACCCGCCTTTACGATAAATAATTATTAGCTCTAGGGTCGCATACGACGCCACGTTGTTATTAACGTTAAGATAAATATTTTCTTATGGTATGTGTTTTCATTCAGTTTTTAGGGCAATATATTAAAATGTTATATTTTAGATAAAGTCTAAATGGCTGACAGAACGCGTCCGTTAATCCGGGCTGAACTGGAAAGTCTGGTAAATGAGATCTGCAATAAAACGGATGAAGAAATAGTATCAGACAGTGAAGAGAGTGAGATCGAAGATCATGAAGAAACTGATGTTATGGAAACTGATGAATTTGATGCCGACCAACCGAGCTCAAGTAATGATAAGGATGTACCTCGAATAAACGAAGGTGGAAAATCAGTGGATCACGAAGCGAATGATGTTATTGAAACTGATTGTTTTGGTGTTGACCGACCGGGCTCAAGTCATGATATGGATGTACCTTCGACAAATGTACGTCGAAAAACAGTGATGTATGCAAAAAATGGACATAAATGGTATTTACAAAGTTTTTATTAAAAAAACACAAGGACAAGTCAGAAAAATATAGTTCTTCATATGCCTGGTCCACAGCGGCATTTGCAAAATATCACGGATGTCAAGAAAATTTGGGATTCATTTTTTACTGAAGAAATTTTGAAAATTATTGTTGAACATACAAACGAACAAATTGAAATTAATAAGAGCCGCTTCAAAACTGAACAACGCTACATTGGTCCTACTAGCATTACTGAAATTCAGGCATTACTGGGACTCTTATATTTATCAGGGGTTTTGAAGAAAGCTCACCTTACACTAAGAGAAATATGGTCAGTTGAATTTGGACCGGCACTTTTTAGAGCGACAATGTCTAAAAACAGATTCGAATTTTTGATAAATTGTCTAAGATTTGATAACAAGTTAACTCGGGAACAAAGAAGAGCAAACGATAAATTTGCGGCAATTCGGCAAATTTGGGATATATTTGAAGGACATTGTAGAGAGAACTATATTCCTTCGGAATATGTTACAATAGATGAAACACTTTTAGGATTTAGAGGTAGATGTCCTTTAAAATGTATATACCAAGTAAGCCTGACAAGTAGGGCTTAAAAATTGTAACGATGTGTGATGCTAAAACGTTTTATATGTGTTCAGCTAAACCCTATATAGGAAAAGAAAATAGAGATAGTCCATATACTATTCCTACACAATATGTCTTAAATTTAAATGAAAACATACAAGGTACAAACCGCAATTGTACCATGGATAATTGGTTTTGTTCTTATGAAGTAGCGAAAGTTTTACTTGAAAAAAAACTGTTCTCGGAACATTACGCAAGAATAAGAAAGAAATCCCAGAGCAGCTATTGGAAACTAAGGGAAAAAATGTAAATTCGTCCATGTTTGTGTTTGATGAAAAAACTACAATGGTTTCATACATACCGAAAAAAAATAAAACAGTAATTTTGCTGTCAACGATGCACACGCAAGGCGACGTAGAGGAGCAAACTAAGAAGCCACAAATGATTCTTGCATACAACAGTACCAAGGGAGGTGTAGACACATTTGATCAGCTATGCCATAATGCGACGGTATCTAGAAAAACACGGAGATGGCCTCTTAGAATTTTCTATGGAATGGTTGATATTGCAGGCGTCAACTCTTTTGTTATATTTAGATGGAATCTTTCTGTTCAAAACGAAACGTCGGTAAAACGCTCAAATTTTCTGAAAAATCTAGCATTTACTCTAGTACAACCATATCTAAAAGAGAGAATGTATAATGTTTATCTACCAAGAGAACTAAAAAGTACCATAAGGAATATTTTAAAATGGGATGAGCAAGAAGTCAAGCCCAGCATGGCTCCCAACGTTGAAGTCACTGGTCGTTGCGATTTTTGCCCTCGAAAGAAAAACCGAAAATCTCGAAGCATTTGTGAGCAATGTAAAAAACAAATTTGTGCGGATCATCGCCTGACCCGTATTTTTTGTCCTAACTGTAAAGAAATATCTTAAACTAATTTATGTACCCATTATATATCGTTACTTTTATTTTTTAATAATCATGTGTTTTTGTTAAATAACTGATATTACACTATGTATTTGTTCTTAATTTGACAATAAACTAAATTTATCAATTATCTATTTAGTTATTATTCCCTAAATTTGTAGAACAAAGAGCAGCCGATGCATCCTCAAAAAGTGACTTTGTGGTGTGCATTGTGGTCAAAGGGCATTATCGGACCTTACTTTTTCGAAAATGCGGCCGGGGACGCCGTTACCGTCAATTCTGAGCGATATCTCGTGATGATAGAGGACTATTTTTTGCCGCAACTTGAAGGAATGGATATGGACGATGTTTATTTCCAACAAGACGGTGCAACATGCCACACAACCAACGTCAATATCCATCGATTGCAGTCCTTCTTCGGTGATCGCGTGATTTCGCGCAGAGGAAATGTGCCATGGCCACCAAGATCGTGCGATTTGACTCCCTTGGACTTCTTTTTATGGGGATATTTGAAAAGCAAAGTCTACGTCAACAAACCAGCCACCCTCCAAGGACTTAAAAACAACATCATTGCCGAGATAAATGGCATAGAACCGACCATGTTGAAAAATGTCATTGAAAATTTCGACCATCGCGTGGACGTCTGTAAATCCAGTCGTAGTGAACATTTGAGCGATATTATTTTTCATACATAAATGGTATAAATGAACCTTCAAAATAAAGTACCCAACTTGATTTGAATATCAATCTTTCTTGTTTTAATAAGCGTTTACTTTCCTGCGTCCGTTTTGGACAACCCCATATTTACAGCGCATAGTACCAGACACGCGTCTACCTCAGCGGCAGCCCGGAAGGGTGTAGGGATCGATGTAATTAGGCGTTCGGCCGGATGGTCGGAAAAGTCAGGTACCTTTGCGAGGTTTTACCAGAGACCATTACATAATAATAAATTTTGTCAACTAGTCTTAGATGATTAGATACTTTACAGATTAGATGTTTTACCTTGTTTGGTCAAATATCTCTTATATGTTTACATAAATAGGAATAATCTCATTAGTTTGCAGAGGTCTAGGTTTACAGTTTTGTTATCAGTTTCTGTTATGCTGATCTATTATTATTACTATGTTCAATAAAATTATATTAATCATAATTTAATAAAAAGACATTTTCGAGTTCGTGGCTAATTCTTTCCTAGCTCCTCTCTACGGGACATAAAGAATATGTGTCTATAGGTATGTACAGATATAGGTATGGATATAATATGGGGTTCTTGGCAGAATATCGTAAAATTGTTGCATGTGTTAGCTTTGAACATCTACAATAGGTACCCTATTTACGAGTCGAGGCATGGAATATAATTAATAGATCAAAAGAACTTACCTAAGTGACGTTCGATCTGAATTATATCCATCCCTCGACGAAGTAAATAGGCTCCCGCCCTTCCCTACCAAAATTAGGATTAATTTAGGACTCCCCTAACATGCAACAACTGAGTGGCTTTGTAAAGAATGATTCTGTTGACACGACCAGCCCGGGTGCCCGCTGCCGGGCGGGGTATGGTCCTTTTCTTGAATGTGTGATCGACGCAGTATAGAAGATACAATACAATAGGTACCCTATTTACTTCGTCGAGGGATGGATATAATTCAGATCGAACGTCACTTAGGTAAGTTCGTTTGATCTATTAAATATAATGCATATTCCGAAACCTCTTGCAGATTACGTCGTACAAAAACTATTTATTACATTACGATAATTTATGAGTGAATTCACAGATGGCAGCATGCGGACTTGTTCAAGTCAGTGCAAGTCTACAAATCTGACGTTCGCACAAAATTGAACAAGTTTGGTCCTCGTTTTTGATGAAATATTTCAGTGAAGTTGCATTATAAAATTGTTGTGGCCAGGAATATGGTAAGCTTAACCCACATTTAGTATTTTTATCCCAAAAAATGTGAAATAGAATTTCAAAACGCTTACTAAAGTAATGTTGCATATATGCAACAATTCCCTTTACAGCCTAAAATATGTACGCGGGATTTTTAAAGCAATGTTGCATATCTGCAACAACGCGCAATAGAATTCTAACAAAAGGCGTCCAATTTTCTGATTTTCTCTGCAGGAAAATTGGGGAAAGAAGAGGCCGCTAACGCAGGCGGAGCTTCAGTACTTTGCAGACCATTTGTCTGAAGTCAGTGAAGACGGACTAGAAACTTCAGATGACGAAGACGACGCGCTCCCACAAGATTTTGATAACATTTCGCCAGCTAATGATCTTCTGGATGATGAAAATGATGATTTTGATATAGACAAAATGCCCATGATAATTTTGCCTGATCTGTCTCTAGACTCGCGTCCTGTTTCTAACGAACATTTATATAAAAAGCAGTCATCTGTACATGTTTCTGACCAATCTTTGGAAATTAATAGCGAATCATGTTCAGCTTTACAAGAAGACGAATATCTAAACGTATTACGTGAAAGCAACCAACAAAACATTTTCTCCGGCAATATACCAAAACACGATGCCAATAAAGATACTAGTCGGAAACGCAAAAATGAAGTACTCCGCAATGACGAAAAAACAAGAAAAAAGAAGTCAGCTGAGGATCAAAGAAGAATTAGAGAAGTCTTGTGTAAGCTGAAGTGGAGGGAGGGCAACTTGATTATGCCCGAAGAATCTGTTAAATTCAAAGGTAGTGAAAAACTGCCAGATGTGTTTTCCAATTTGGAAACTCCTTACCAGTTCTTCACCTACTTTTTTGATCAAGATCTTATCAAGCTTATCGTGGAGCAGTCAAATTTTTTCTCGGTACAATTAGATACAGGCAATCCTGTATCTCTACAAGAAACTGATATAAAAAGATATATTGGAATATGTGTTCTGATGTCAGTTATACATATGCCCAATATACAAAGCTATTGGTCTTCTACCATTGGTAGATATTATCAAAAATACGATGTCGCAAAAGCAATTCGAGAAAATAAAAAAACACCTGCATTTCAACGATAACTCTAAGAGCCCTTTCAGACGAGGATACCGTATGCGAGATACGCGTATCCGAGATACAGATATTCCATACACCCAAATCGAACCTTTCAAACAGCACTAGCGACGCATTCAGTATCCCGAACGCAAATTTCGGTATCGCTCATCTTTCGGCCGCCGGCGACAGAATGCGTATGCCGCATACAGAATTATCATTATACGTATATTATACGGAGCTGTTCAGACACGCATACTTTTTCATCAGTGAATACGGTAGAACATAGTCGTTGGGTTTTTCTTATGTTAGTAGTAAATGAGGTTAAGAATTTAATTGGACGTTAATGTAATACGTATATGTATATAGAAATGGAACGTGCAGTCTTTGATAATGAAAAGTTTATAAGTTTGGTGGAACCAAATCCCTGTTTATGGGATACAGCGCACCCAGATTATTGCGATAGAAATAAGAAACAGCAACGCTGGGTGGAAATTGCCAAACAAATGTGCGACAATTTTGAGGAGATGACAGCAGCACAACAGAATGAATATGGTAAGACATTAAACATAATTTTATTTTAAATACATATTAGACTATTATAAGTAAGTAGTGCAGGCTAAAAAGTTTACATATGGGATTATTTTCATTAAAATTTATTGTCCCAAAAATACTTAGTTCCTATAGATAGATTTTACTATATTTTAGTTAAAACTAAAACACAATCTAATTTAGACATAAGAAACGAATATTTCAGAAATATTAGGAATAAAAATAAATTTCAAAATTTCAACAGCACTAGTTCACATGATACAACTATTCAGCCATGGTAATATATCAGTATTCATGAAATAGTCAGCAAAATAGTCACGAATAGCAGTCGCTGATCTTGAAGAACACGCTCCTGTTTTTGCAACATTAGCATCATAAAATCCTTGGACGGATAAGGCATCTTCATGTTTATATCCATCTAGTACACGAACAAAATTATGGAGTACAGTACAAGCTATAACTATGTCAACAGCAAAATCTATTGACACGTTGAGTGGTCTGCGAAATATTCTCCACTTGTTAGAAAGTATTCCAAAAGTACACTCAATATATCTTCGTGCTCGAGTTAACCGGTAATTATGTATTCTCTTTTTTAATGTCAGATTTTTTCCACCATATGGCCTCATAACATGAGGATAAACCAAATGCTTCGTCTCCAACAATAACATATGGGATTTTGTAATCATTCTTTTGTGGCAAAAAATCTGGATTGGGAAGATCTAGCTTTTTTGAGCTTAAGTTCTTATAAAAATGTGAATTCGTAAAAATGCTTGAATCACTGTTTTTCCCATAATCTTCAATATCTACAAATGTGAAGCAATAATTCGCGTCACACATCGCCAGTAGTTGTATTGAAAAAAAATGTTTATAGTTAAAATAAAGAGAACCACTATGTTGTGGTTTTATAACCCGGATATGTTTTCCGTCTATGGCACCCAAACAGTGTGGATAATTTGCATTTTTCAAAAAACCGTCTGCGATTTCTAACCATTTTTCTCGTGTGGGCTTTGGTATACATTGTTCTTTCATAAATATCCAAATTAGCTTGCATGTTTCCTGAATTATTTCGCTCGCTGTTGAAATTCCAACTCTGTAGTTATAATGTAGCTCAGTAAGGGAGCAACCAGTCGCCAGGTACCTGAAAATAATTAAAAAAAACTTGTTGAATTTTTCAGGGAAAGATCTTAACAAAAAATGGAAGAATTTAACAAATTCTTTTGCTCGAGAGTTGGCGAAAAGAAAAAAGAAAAAAAGTGGTGACGGAGCTTCTTGGAAAACTTATATATTTTCGGAACAGCTATCTTTTTTGATGCGATGCTCTTCAAATAGAGAGTAAGAAAATTTAACTTGTCAAAATATGAACTACTAAATTAATAGATTTGTTTTAGGACCACTTCAAATTTTACAGAGGAAAATCATACAATCGAAGAAGCTTCGGATCATGAACAAAATGAGTATGTTACTCCTTTAAGGCCTATACATGTACAGAAAAAAAGGAAAGTGGCATCGGAAACTGACCATAACACTGAGATAGTGGGCCTATTAAAGGCAAATCTTGCACAGCGACAAACAAACGATATTATGCTAGACAATGACGGAGACCGACATTTCCTTCTTTCGCTACTGCCGGACTTTAGAAGAGTGCCAATTGACAAAAAGATGGATGTGAAATTGGCAATGATACAATCGATAAAATCTGCCCTATTACCCACTCAATCTGCATTTAATTACAACCATGTATAACATTTGCCGTTTTATCCATCCGCTCCTAATCCCCCGTCTACACAACATCTTCCTATTCATAAGTCATCATCTTCACAAGTGCACGTTTATGGTCATCCTTCTTCCACTCATCCTCATTTATCTCCCCATTCGTCATCCAACACTTCATTCATTGAGTTACAATGTTCATCCAATGAAAGAACAGACACTGTTCCCATCCTCTCACCCCATTCCGTTGAATCAACTGCCACCTCAACAGACGGATCCATCATCGATCTTCTTGTTGATTACCAAGGCTAAGACCAAAATTGTGGAGCTGATAATTAATTATTATTTTTCTTGTACTACTTTAAATACAAATAGATTTAGAAAAAAACATCTATAAGTATTTTTTCCTTACCTTAATGTCATAGATAGTCGTTCTTTTGACGAAATACTTCTACGCATAGTTGTGTCCTTTTTAATTAGTTTGTTTTCCAAAATATTATGAAGTTTCTCAAAGGACTGAATAGACATTCGATAATAATTGAAAAACTTCGATGGATCTTGCAACAAATCTTCATGTAATAAATTATACGTTCCTTTGCTTTCTCTTAATCCCAACATGGGATGAACCCACAAACTACGTCTCCTTTTTAGTTTCTTCTCCTTATTATTTAATAAATACCACACCGCGATACACTCTTCTATTTCCATAATTATTACAACTGCACTACACTGCGTCTATTTTGCGTATAACAAGGCGGTATGCGATACAGAAGTAAAAAAGTATCCGGTCGTAATTCTGTATCTCGGATACTGTATCTCGGATACTGTATCTCGCATACGGTATCCTCGTCTGAAAGGGCTCTAAAACGTTACCTAAGGGACATGAACTGCATGATCGACTTCACAAAATTCTGCCACTGGTTGATTACCTTCTTGATCGTTACCAGTCTGTTCCTTATGAAGCATGCCTATCAATTGATGAACAGATGTGCCCAACAAAAACAAAAAGTTATATCAAGCAATGCATGCCAGCAAAACCGCATAAATGTGGATTCAAGGTTTATGTGTTGGCCGGAGTTTCAGGATATTGTTATAATTTTGAAATTTACCGTGGACAAGAAAACACAACAGGGCTAAATGAGAATGATTTAGGGGAATGTGCTGGGACCTCGGTTGGCCGCGTGGGTCAGAGTGTTGTGCTACTGAACAGCCGGCCGGCCGGGCCGCGAGTTCGAATCTCGCCTTCGCCATGGATGTTGTGACGTCGTGTGTTTGTCCATAATTCGAAATATACATATACAAGATTGGATCTGGCTAATGGGACGCAACGTCCTAGTGCAAAAAAAAGAGGAATGTGCTAACATCGTAACCAGACTTCTACGTAATCTACCAAATGATATGAATTATCATGTATACTTTGATAATTATTATACCACCTTGACACTTCTGACACAGCTATCTCAACGCGGTGTTCAAGCTTTGGGTAATATCAGAAGAAATCGGATACCAAAATGCCCCCTTCCAGGAGATAAGGAAATGAGTAAAGAAAATCGAGGTACCAGTAAGGAATATATTACTGAGATGGAAGGAGTACCAATTTCTTCAATTGCATGGAAGGACAATAAAATTGTGTCCCTTGTGTCTACATTTTGTGGCACTCTTCCCAAATCCAAAGCTGAACAGATACGATAAATCTCAAAATAAAAGAGTGGAGATCGATTGCCCTAACATTGTAGAAGAATATAATAAACATATGGGAGGAGTAGACCTTATAGACAGTTTGATTGGTTGATACCGTATCAAGCTCAAATCAAAGAAGTGGTATTTCAGACTTTTTTATCACCTTTTGGACATGACAATAGTAAATGCTTGGCCTCCATATAGGAGGGTTAATGCTGAGAAGGGAAATACTAAAACACTTGGGCTGGCAAATTTTAGGATTGAATTAGGAGAAACACTTTGCAAAATAGGAATTCGTCAAAACTCAAGAGGACGTAAACCTGATTTGGAAAAGAAAATCCAACAGAAACAACGCTCTAGTAACTGTACTATTCCTCCTAGGGAGGTACGGGTTGACGAGAGCTCACGCTGGCCCGTATGGATGGAAAAACGTTTACGTTGTAAACTTCCCAAGTGCGGTGGGTTTACGTACGTTATGTGTGAAAAATGCCAAACCTCGCTGTGCTTTAACAAAGCTAAAAACTGTTTTCATAGGCTCTGCCACGAAATCTCAAATCTAATATTACACAACAGCTTTGGAACAAGATCATGATCATTATTCAATTCAGATAGCAACGAAATAATGCCACCACCACAAACTCTAAACAAACATGAAAAACTCCCTGAAAGCACGTCATCGTCAGCCCCACAAGTCACAGCGAAATATACCTCTGCCATAATCAAGCAAGGGCCATCAACAAGACATCACACACAGAGAACGCTCATTTCACCGGAAGCTAATACACAGAACAGTAGCAGTCCAATGACCACCTTGCCCAATGTAGACTAACTCCACTAAATTTGTCGCCTCTCACAGTAAACAGAAGTCATCAAAACAACAAAATTTTCAAAGAAATGCCTCGAAGAGAATAACTTCAAAATAATTCATCTTAATGTTTGCAGTCTCTTAAATAAATTCAGTGAAATGGAGCTACTTGTTAACGATTCGTCGCCAGATGTACTATGTCTTACCGAAACGTGGTTACCACTGGGCGCTATAGAATCCGCGAATATAGACGGCTATACCCTTATCTCGTGCTTCTGCCGAGTGAGACGCATAAATGGAGGATGTGCAATTTATGTCAAAACAGTTTAACAGCCAAATGCATACCGTTCGTGAGCAAGGCGTCGGAAGAGGGAGGAATCGAGGATTGTGGACTTACAATGAATTCCGGAAGATCTAATGAGAAGCTCGGCATAATATGTGTGTATCGCCCACCATCTGGCAACGTAGCGATATTTCTGGAGAACTTAGGGAATATATTGGACAGGTTATTTTTGGAAAGTAGCAAAAACGTTATTTGTGGGGATCTTAACATAGATAGCCTGAAACCCATCATAAATTCATATCTACTTCAAGATATGATATCATCCTACAACATGATAAATCACTGTAATAGTGCTACTCGCACTGCAGTGAACAAAAATAACACAATGACACGTACATCAATAGATTATATCATAACGAACTTCAGACCCAGGCAATTGACATGTACAATCTTTGAACCCCCCATTTCAGACCACAACTTCTTTCGCTCTCTCGTGCATCCCATGACAACATAGAACATCAAGACAACCACTTGCTCATGACAAGGCCTCCAAATGACGACAATTTAAATCACCTCAAAGTTAGCTTAGCTCAGGAAAACGAGAATATTGGCGAGGACGATATTGATGCAGAATTTGAACGGTTTCTCAACAATTTTTTGTAGCATTTGGATTTGAAATGTCCCCAGAGGCATAAAACACGACACAAAAAGCAGAAATCTAAACCGTGGGTGACGCCAAAAATCCAACAGTCCAGCCAAGATCTAAGAAAACTACACAATTTGGTGAAATGGCATGAAGACAATGTAAGTATGAGACAGCAGTACATTGACAACAAGAAAGAACACAAGAAATTAATTTCTTCAACAAAAAAGAGTATTACAGTAGTCTAAAAACATCCAGCAACAACATAACTAAAAAAATATGGCAAATAGTCAATGAAGAAACCGGAAGAGTAAAGAAACATCATCAAATAGTGCTGAAACATGAAGAAAAATAACTTACTGACACCCTCGTACCCGACAAGTAGTGGCAAGTATTTTTCCACAATAGCAGAGAGCAAGTTAGCAGAACACTTTAAATGTGACAGCCCATCAAGATGTCCATCACAAAATCGGGTAGCATCATCAATGTTCTACGAGGATATCACCACTGAAGAGATCGTGGAAGTATCAGTGAAGCAAGGTAAATTCCCGAAATGCTTGAAACTAGCTATTGTTATTCCCGTATACAAAAAGGGTGACCGTACAGACCTTGAAAACTACAGACCAATATCACTTTTATCGATGATCTCTAAAGTCATTGAAAAATGTCTGTATAAACGTATATTATGTTTTCTCAATCGCTATAATGTCTTATCAGATGGGTTTAGACCCTCCCGATCTATAGAAACGGCGACCTTTGACTTTTTTTCTCATATTTATAAAGAAGTAGATGAAAACAGATACGTTGCTGGACTATTTTTTGACCTTTCGAAAGCATTTGATATAGTGGATATTTCGTTTATCCTGGAAAAATTGTACTGCTTAGGTATAAGGGATTTTATTCTCGGCTGGATCCAGTCTTTCCTCACAGATAGAAAATTGAAAACGAAGGTCAATCGTCATAGTTACGTCAACTCAATATTCCGTGAATATAAGTGGGCACAAGGCTCAGTACTTGCACCACTGCTCTTCATTGTATACATAAATGAAATTGTCTGGCTTCATGATTAATTATGCGGATGACACATCTGTCGTCGTCAGTGCCACGACACCGCAGGATCTTCTCGAATCTATTGAGAAAGTCAAAAGTGAAATGAGCGAGTGGTGCCAGTCTGAATGAAGATAAGACTGTTGAAATTCATTTCTTCAACAAGAAACCACGCATGGATATTGATAGCTTTTCAGATCAAACTGTCTTCTTAGGAACTCATGTTGAGAATAAGTTAAGCTGGCAACCACAAATAAATCACATTTGCAACAAAATTAACAGTGCTTATTTTGCAATATTGAAATTAAAGCCTAACATCCATCAAAACTCACTCTTAGATACATTAGTTTATTCTCACCTCACTAACAATATAATCATATGGGAACAGGCAACAATGATTAACAGATTATTCATCCTGCAGAAAAGAGTACTTCGATTAGGGGAAGGGAGGGCAAGATGGAAGGAGTAGGCAAGATGGAAACTACCTACCAAACCCGAACCGTGTAACGAAGCGCGCGAGTCCACACGGACACAGAGGCATGCGGCCATCTTGCATTTACGAACGACAGCTCAGTCCGGTACGATCACCTAACGAGTGTACACGCTTGCTTCTTATTTTCGTTGCAAAATATTACGCAGTTATTGGATTTTTATGATAGGATTATTTAAACAAGGTGAGTAATATTACTATTATGAATTTATATAAAGTATCTATGCTGAATCGGTTGTATAAATTGATATTTAAATAAGAGAAATAATAATGCATTTTCAAATTATTGATATTATTATTGGAATGGGTCATATGGGCTAGATGGAAAATTGCAATTTGGGGCAAGTTGGAAGAGTTTCCATCTTGCCCGCGCACATTTTGATATCTGTTTTCAATTGTTGTTTTTAATTTGTTTTTAGATGGTGAACAAGTATATAAGGAAAAGCAATAGAGGTTCTTGGACCGAAGAAACGATGCAGATGGCGATGAATGCAGCTAAAACTAATATATATATAATATAATATAATAATAAGCTCGGCGTCAAAAAAATATGGAATTCCAATTGGAACTTTACATCGTCATATTAAAAAAGGGGACTCGTCCAAAAACCTAGGAAGGTTTAAACCTGTTTTTTCAAAAGAACTGGAGAGGGAAATATGTGATCTTGCAATGGAACGTGATATACTTTTTTATGGTTTAACAAAGCGAAGTCTACAACAACCAGCTTATGAGGTAGCGAAAGTAAATAATATTCCGCATCCTTTTGCATGTGAAAAAGCTGGAAAGGCATGGCTTGATGGTTTCATGAAAAGACATCCTCAACTGGCGTACAGGACACCAGAAACCACAGCTTTAGCTCGTTGTTCTGCTTTTAATCGCACGCAAGTGAATCGGTTCTATGATAACCTGTGGAGCATTATATCTCACCATTTGTTGTTTACTATTGAATATTGATTACGCGCTGCATTTTTAGTGTCGGGTTTTGTTTTATTGCAGAATAAAGTAGCAAATGACAATGAATAGTGTCAGTAACATTTTAAAAAATGATTTTACGCGTCTGTCCCTTCAGAATAAATTAGAAATTAAGCAATTGGGCAGACCTTTGCCGGATTTAAAGTTAACGCAAGTTTTACCCGTCATTTTTCTAAAGATACATATAAAAAAAATAATTGGATATGTGGATGTGAAGAGACAAATTTATTGTACTGTTTCCCCTGTTTATTATTTTATAATGCCGCGTCAGGTATGGACTCTAGTTGGTCAAGGACGGGAATCAAAGACCTGCATCATCTTCCTGAAAAGGTTAGAAAGCATGAAGCTTCGAGAGGACACATTAATTCGTGCACGGCGCTTGCAGTTCTTGGTAAGACAAATATAGCATCACAAATAAGTTCTGCTTATAGACAAAGTATAGTTGAACATAATGAAAAAGTGAGAAAAAATCGGCACATTTTGAAACGGATTATAAGCTGTGTCAAATTTTGCAGTGCCTTTGAATTGGCACTTAGAGGTCACAATGAGACTGAAGAGTCTTTGAATCGAGGAATATTTAGAGAATTAGTTGATTTTACCGCTGAGTTAGATGAGGCCCTTAAAAATCATTTACAAAATGCCACGGTATTCAAGGGAACTTCTAAAAGCATTCAAAATGACATATTAGATAGCATGCTACAAGTTTGTAGAGAAGAAATTTTGCAGCAAATTAAAAACGCAAATTTCCTATCAATTCAATGCGATGAAACGACCGACATATCAAATCAGTGCCAAATGGCTTTAATATTCAGATATTTCCACGAAGGCGGCATACAAGAACATTTTGGAGTTTTTTGAGAGTTAAAGATAAGACATCAGTAGGTTTAAAAACTTGCATAGAAAATGAAATTGATCCGTTTCTTTTACAAAGTCCTGAAAAGTTGATAGCACAAACATATGATGGTGCGAATGTCATGAGTGGTTCTGTCGGTGGGGTTCAAGTTCACATTAAAGAAAAATATCCTAATGCACATTTCATACATTGTTATGCCCATCAGCTAAACCTTATTATGCAAAAAAGTGCATCACAAAATGCAAAAGTACGTGTGTTTTTTAATAATTTGTCGGCCATACCAGCTTTTTTTTCGAACTCTACCCATCGACGTGATGTTTTAGAAGAAATTATAAATAAGAAAATCCCCAGAGTAGCTGCTACTAGATGGAACTATAACATTCGTACAGTTAACTTTGTCTATGAACATCGTGAGAATCTCATAGAGGTGTTTGAAGAAATAGAAGAGAGATGTAATAGAGGTGTTACTTTAAATGAAGCTTCAAGTTTGAGAAGAGCGTTAGAAGATCAAGAATTGAAGCCTTCCCTCGAATAACGGTTTATGTTACATTTTTTGCATGTTGAGATTTTCATGCAAAAACGGTCTATGTAAACATACGCATCGTTTAAAGTAATAAAACAAAAATACATATGCTGCTATCTATAAAATGTATGCAATACTACTTTCTTTAGCGTGGAATAACGGTTTATGTGGCCACGTGCAACCAAATTGTTTTACTAATCATAATAATGTCGACTGTACATATCACGTCGTCGTTCTGCAAAACGTTAAATAAAAGCAGAAAAAGAAAAATAAATGCGAATGAGTGGAAATGTAATAAAAACAAGAAATTAAGGAATAGTGGAAGTGAATATATAGACCGGCAAGGACGAATTAAACCCAGGAAAGGTACATCTCGAGAGGTAAGTAGAAAAAGGGTATATGTTATTTATAATCTAACCTATAAATTAAGTGTGAGTTCTACAGCTTTTATTTGGTATCATCTGGTTAACAAATCACATAGAATTTTAATTTCTATTGTTATTGTTAAACTTTTTAAATCGTTCTTTCTTTTCAGGCTAGAATCTGCAAGCCTGAGACATGCAAAAAGGGTGGCTGTACCAGTATAACTATTGACGATAAGGAAATGCTATTTAATTCTTTCTATGGTATGGATTATAATGACCAAAGTTCCTATTTAGTAAAGTGTATTGCTATGGGTACCCCGAAGAGACGTCGAGCTGGAAAAACCGATGCAACTTCTAAGAAGTTAGCTGCGTTTACATACTCAGTAATGCTAAAACGGAGTGGCAAGTATGTATCAATGCTTATGTGTAAAAGGAACTTTTGTGATATTTTTCAAATAAATACAAAGAGAATTTGAATACTACAGTCTAAAATGAAAGATGGTGTTACCATTCCCACTGATCTACGAGGTAAACATGACAATCGACCAAATCGTATAAAGCAAGATATTAAAGATGCTATCCGCATGCATATAAATAGCTTTCCCAAACATGAATCTCACTATTCGAGGCAGAAATCAAGCTCACTGTATTTACATCCGGAGCTAACAATGAAAAAAATGTTTTCACTTTTTGAAGAACATTTTCCAAACCTCCATGTTAAATTTCGCACTTACCGTGATGTTTTTTCCGAATATAACTTCAAATTTGGCGTTCCGAGGGGTGACACATGTAGATATTGCGACAAGTTATATATGCAGTTACAATGTGCAGAAACTGAAGAATCTCGGATTAAAATACAACAGGATAGTGAGCTGCACCATAGGAAGGCAGAAGCTGGGTATCGTTTCCTAAAGGAAGACATCGAATCAAGTAAAGTGTCCACCACTAAGCATGTTTTATGCATTGATATGCAGCAGGTTTTATTCTGCCCTACCCTGACACACTCTTCAGTATTTTATCAGCGGCAGTATTCCTGCTATAACATCTGTATTCACAATGGCGGATTAAATAATGCCAGAATGAATTTATGGCACGAATCTATCGCTGTACGAGGTTCTGCTGAAATAGTATCGGCATTATTAGCTTATATAGAAGATCACTTTGATATTTTGAAACCGGGAGAAGAACGCCATCTGATACTATGGTCTGATAGATGTGTCGGCCAGAATAACAACTGGAAAGTGGTAAACTTGTGTCACTATTTAGTACAGTGCCATTATTTTACCATTGTTGAACAGAAATTTCTTTGCTCAGGATACAGTTTTTTACCGTGTGACAGAAATTTCGCACTTATTGAACAAAGAAAGAAGGTATGTAAAGTCTATGTTCCTGATATGTGGAAAGAAGTTATAGAAAGTGCCAGTCATAAAAATGCTTTTGAAGTCAAACTGCTCCAGCAAAATGATTTTAAAGATTTCGCGCCAATCGAAAAAAATGTTAAGAAAAATCCTAATTTAAAGATTACTCAATATATGTGGTTTAGATATAGTGCAGATGATCCTTCTAATGTAAACGTGCGTCCAAGCCATAATACGTTTGCTCCTTGGACTTCATTCAACATATTTACAAAAAAAAGATGCAAGCTCCTGGACGCTCAAATCTTCCTCTACTTTATAATGAACCACTGAAAATAACCTTTGAGAAAAAGCAAAATTTGATGGACATGTCCGACTATATTCCTTTGAAGTACATTAACTTTTACGAGAGTCTTAGGGTAAAGTCGGGTATATTGTACAGGTCTTTAATTTGTACCACCTCAATATTTTATGAACTATAGAACTCTAACGCCATCTATTTACCTTGTTTGATAGCCCCTGGCGCCAAAACGTATCTAACGAACTCTTGCAACTGACGGTCGTTCGTGTATCTAGTTATTTGGTGTTTTGTGAAACACGTCCTCACGCAGTAAGTATTATACAATCTTAGATAAGCCCTTATGTCCAAATAATCAGTTTCTGCTAAGTGCCGTTATATTTTTCGTAGTTATTGATCTTTTTATAAGATCTTTATTGAGTTAAGTTTCACCTAACCTCACTTTTTAAAAAGAAGTAAGAATATTTATGTTATTCATACCAGTTCGGTAATTTGTACCACTGGCTGGTTTGCTAATTTGTACCGGTACAATTTAACAAACTCTTGTATTATTTTCCAGTCATGCCTCGCAAGGGCTTAACATATGGAAAATGGAGCGAAGAAAACATGAAGAAAGCAATAAAACTGTACAAAACGGGAGAATTTGGACTTAATGCGATCTGCAAGAGATATCAGATTCCAAAGCCAACGTTCAAGAGGCATTTGTTAGGGACAAATGTCAAAGCAAAGGAAGGACTGAAATCACTAGGTAGGGTCCAAGTATTCAGCACCGAAGTAGAGCAGGAGCTAGAAAATCAAATCCTGAAAATGGAAGAAATTTTCTTTGGACTCACCATTCAAGATATTAGAAGAGCTGCCTATCAGTTTGCAGAGAAGAATGGAATAAAACATAATTTCAACAAAGTGAAGGGGACAGCCGGTAAAGCATGGTTTTATAATTTCATGAAAAGGCATCCAAAGCTTTCTTTTAACAGACAGAATGTCAATCACTTTTTTGATATTTTAGAGAAGTTAGTTGATCAGTATAAAATAGACGCGACAAGGATTTACAACGTAGATGAGTCTGGGTTTTCTACAGTTCAGAAAAAATGCCAAAAAATAATTGCTAAAAAAGTTAAGAAAAACGTTGGGGCAGTGGCCAGCGGGGAACGGGGAGTGAATACCACGTTCATAGTATCCACCAATGCAGCAGGAAACTTTGTAGCGCCTATGATAATTTTTAATAGAAAAAGAATGATGCCAGAACTTGCAGAAGGTGCCCCTCCAGGTTGCTTAGTTCAAATTTCAGACACAGGATATATTAACTCTGAATTATTCGTGGTTTGGCTACATAAATTTATTGAAGTGGTGAAGCCAAAGCCCACCCCCGAAGATAGAGTGATCCTAGTTCTGGATGGGCACACGACACACTCCAAGAACCTGGAGGCAATCAACTTGGCTCGACAACATGGTGTAATTCTCCTACAATTGCCAGAGCATACCACAAATCGGCTTCAACCACTAGACGTTGCAATATTTAAGCCAATGGAGGTCTACTACGATCAGGCAGTTGAACGGTGGATGCGAGAACATCCAGGATTATCAGTGACACAACATCAGGTTGCTAAACTCTTAGGAGAGGCATATGGAAAATCTGCAACTGTTGGCTTTGCAATAAATGGATTTGCGAAGACTGGAGTATGGCCTGTGAATAGACATGTTTTTACTGATGTAGATTTTGCAGCAAGCGATGTTTTAGTCAATAATTCATCTCAGTTACCCATAGGAAAGAATAAAAACCAAATTGGACATGATGAAGACGATTCTTCTGACGACGATATCCCTCTGTCTAAGCTAATGTCAAAAGACGGTGCTCCAAAGATTAACTCTGAAGGAAACAGCTGCTTTCCAGGATCTGGCGATTGGGGGAATAGACGAATAGATTCTAAAAATGCTCAACAGCAAAAAAATGTAGATCTCCCAAATATCTCATTTGATGAGATCATTTGCTTGGCAGGGACTAGCGGATTGGGAAACAAACCACGGATCAACAAAAATGCCCAACAGGCTGCAGTGCTTACAAGCACCCCATATAAGGACGAGTTAGAAAATAGAAAAAAAACCGTGCTTAATGAAAAAAAAGGTGCAGTGAAAAGGGCAGTACTGTCAGACTTACATCAAAATTCAAAAGAAAAAATGACAACCAAGACAAGATATATGAAATCCAGAAATTCTTGTTCCCCCACTAAAGCAGATGAGGTGACTAATGCTGTTATAGAGGCAAATGCTGATGACTGGTTTTGCATCATCTGCCAGGAATGCATTATAGAGGATATGATCAGGTGTGATCAATGCACAAATTGGGTGCACGAAAGCTGTGCTTCATTTCCCAGCCGAAATCGGTATATTTGTGACCTGTGTGCCTAAGATTCCTGTAGAGGAGTTCAACAAATAAACATTTTAATTTATTTTGAGTTATTTTGCTAGAGTTATGTTTTATTTCAACTTTGTTCCTTATTTGTGATCTCTTTGATGTAAGTTCATAATTACATGTATAATTATAATAATACACTGTCTTGCTTTATGGCTATACCAACCTGTTCCACTAACAATGAAAATCTTATGGATTTTGCCATGGTACAATTTAAAACCCCCGTGGTACAACTTAGCGAACCGGTTCGATAAATTGTACCGTTTACAACATTTTTTTAAAATGCATCTTATTTTAAGCTCTGAGCATTCACATCAATCTAAAGTTGCGAATTTTGACAGACACATGCCATATTACCTTACTTCGAAGTTTCGCTCAATACAAACAAGTCATCAAGGAGTTATTTCTTAAAATACGTTAGGTGGTACAATATACCTGACTTTACCCTACTTGTAAAGGAAAGAAGAATTGAGCCCATATTTTTATGTATATTACGTTAAAAACTTAACTGTATTAACATTAAATGGGTACTCGGTAATAAGGGTTTATGTTACATTTTACATAAACCCTTATTCCAGAGACTCAGAATATACAGGGTTATCCAAATTAAGTGTCCACCATTAGTAACTTTGTTATTAGTGAAAATACAAAGTTGTTTGAATTAGCAAACTAGTAGCATTTTTAACGCTGGTAAAAATGAGAAATAAAAAAAAAACAATTGAGAGTCGTTATTTTGATTTTTTTCAGTAAAATAACATTTTTTTAAATGGAAACCCCTGTATATTATATTTTTTTCTGTTAAAGCATCAAATTTTAAACAAAAAAGTTCATAATGACTTTTCCGCTAAAGTCAAAAATAAAGTCAAAATAACGATAAATATTTTTAATTATTTGCAGTATTATAATATTAAGACGGCTATGAAAACAACATGGCGTTCGCGATTTGACAGCATTAAGATAAGCGACAAATTGTTAAACTGGACATACTCGCAACTAGAAGGCTTTGGAAAACAATGATAAAATCAAATAATGTCAAACATTAGTGTAAATACTTGTTTATAAGCTTTATTGTGTCATTAATTTAAAGAAAAATGTTCTCCCATGAAGAAAAGTGTGATATGTTAGAATGCTATTTAGTGTGCAGAAAATCCTCCTTGAGAGCAAGAGAATACTACAGTGAATTATATCCCGCTCGCATTCAACCGTATGAACCGTATTTTCTGAGACTTTATCGAAAATTTAGGGGCAACGAAAATGTTTTTGCTAAAACAAGGGCAAAAAAAGAATTCATAATAAGCGAGGCCACGGAAATTGCAGTTATTGGATATTTTGAAGCATATCGTGAGAATTCAATAGCAGATATTCTCAAGGACTCTAATTTCAGTTATGGTACTGTTCAAAGGATTTTAAAAAAATACAAATTTATTCCGTATAAGTACCGACCAGTTCAAACGCTTTTGGCAGGGGATCCAGAGAGAAGACTTGTTTTTTGCCATTGGTATCTTAGCTTCTGTCGCCAAAATGTAAATAACTTTCGTTACCTTTTATGGACAGATGAATCAAATTTTTCAAATTCTGGAATGTTTAATAGAAAAAACCACCATTATTGGTCAAGAGAAAATCTTTTGTTAGTACATCCAAGAGGCCCACAAGTCCGTTTCAGTTTCAACGTTTGGTGCGGTATAATTGGTTCAAAAATTGTTGGCCCGTTCTTTTATGAGGGAACCCTAACTGGTGAAAGATATGTGGAATTTATGTCAGAAATTCTGACTAATTTCTTAGACGAATTGGATCTTATAAGTAGACATCATCTGCATTTTCAGCAAGATGGCGCATCTGCCCACAACTCCAGAGGTACTTATCATTTTCTAAGTACTACTTTTAATGATCAGTGGATAGGAACAAATGGCCCAATACAGTGGCCTCCCAGATCACCAGATCTAAACCCACTTGATTACTTCTTGTGGGGTTACTTAAAGAACCAAATTTACAAGCGAAGGTACGATAACCTTGACGCGTTAAAGACTGCAGTTAGGGAAAAGATAACCCAGATAGATGGTAGGACCATACTTAAGACAGTTCGAGCAGTTGAAAAACGTGCCCAAAAATGTATTGAAGAACAAGGTGGTGTTTTCGAGCATCTTCTTTAAAAAAAATTGTTATTGTATTTTGTAAGATTATAAGTTGATGTTGAAAATAAAGTTTGTCGATACAATTTAATTGTTTCAGATTGGAGGCCATAACTTCAACAATTTGTAACCTAGGAGAAAAGTTATTGTAAGCTTTTTTGTTTAAAATTTGATGCTTTAACAGAAAAAAATATAATATACAGGGGTTTCCATTTAAAAAAAATGTTATTTTACTGAAAAAAATCAAAATAACGACTCTCAATTGTTTTTTTTTATTTCTCATTTTTACCAGCGTTAAAAATGCTACTAGTTTGCTAATTCAAACAACTTTGTATTTTCACTAATAACAAAGTTACTAATGGTGGACACTTAATTTGGATAACCCTGTATTATATAAAATATGTAGTATTAGTTATCTTTAGCTACACTCTTTAATGGCTAATGTCTGAGAATTATTATATTAGTTTGTTATCACCATTTCTGTTATGTTTATTATTAAAAACCCCATAGCAAATCGTTTTTGTTAATTTTCTCAATATAGCCGAATGTAACATAGACCCTTATTCGAGGGAGGGTTGAATTCTTGTTTTGGTCGACAGCATTCCATAAAATATTTCCGCATGTTGACATCCTTTATAACCAGCTGCAGTCAAGAAATCAAGATAGTGTTCAATTACAAAAGGACTTACTAATTTTTGAAAAGAGTATCGACAATATAAGAGGTCAAATTGATGATATTAAAAAATATACCGACACAAAGTTTGAATCTAATAAAAGAAGAAGAACTGACGACAGTATACGAGGGGTCATTGCCAAAGACGTGTGCGACATAATAACAATGCAAGTAAAAGATTTTCGTTTCGAGGTCATTTACAGGCAGCCGAATTGTTTAATACAGAGGCATATTTGAAATATTCCCGAAATTTCCCTTCTGCTATTTTGGATGCCGTAGCTACTTTTTATCCAATGTTGTGTAAAGCCAGACTGAAAACGGAATTAGAAGTTATATACTCCAGGGAAGACTTAAAGGAAATCGTTGGTGCTATGAATTTATTGTCTTTTGTTGTTACGAACAATCTTTGCGATACATTTGTGGAAGTTATAAAAATGTTAAAAATCATTGTGACAACCCCAGTGACCACAGCAGAATCAGAACGTTGTTTTTCAACTCTTAAACGCATAAAGACATTTTTAAGAACCTTTTAACCTAACCTAATTTTACTGCATGTGTAGAAATATGCTCACCATGCGGTGTGGGGCGGAAACCGGTACTGACTGCTGATCGAGAAAGAGAACTGTCTGGAAGAATGATCCGTTTGGCGGAGGTCGGCTACCCGTTAACATCACAGACACTTCGAAGGTGTGTTTTTAATTTTTGCACCGAAACCGGTATACAAAATAAATTTTATACAATGTCTCGAATGGCTGGTCGGTATTGGCTTAATGGATTTTTAAAAAGAAATCCTGAAATAAGTAAGAGAAAAGCAAGTTACAGACACCAGATATGCATAATTATAGAATTGCATTTCACATAGCTTGCACTTTTTACAGAGTTTATAAACATACCGTAATTTGCATTATATTCAGTTCTAGCTATTTCTCGGTCCGTTTCACATCAATTTTGTACGTTTTGAAAATAAAAGTTTTTTAAAAACTTATTTCCGAGTCGTACTTCCGTAAGTGGCGCAGTCGCAGTAGGATCTTGATACCCCCATCTTTACAAAAAGTTATCGTTATCCAGAAATTCATAGAAATGAAGTTAACCCTTAATAGCTACCCACGGGTCAAAATGACCCATCGATATGAGGTCCCCCCCACTTCGTATCTTTATATTAAACGTGAACAGCTGGCGGTGGTTCAGTATTCGTTCAGCCGCTGTTGAAGTAAATGTGCATCGTAGTTTTAATCTAGTGACGTAGTTCATTCGACTGTAATGGCAGCCACTGGGTCAAAATGACCCGTGAATAGTATAAACGTTATTATTTTGTTCCGAATTACTTGAATATTTTATGAACTATTGGTAGTATTTTTTATATGAAAAGGTAAGTTTTAACCACCATTTTTAGTTTTTTTTTATGAAGTATTTTTTTTTGATGTTTTCAGGTTATAATGGCTAAAGGACTTACTGATAAAGAGCTGGAACAAATTATTGAGTCTGATGAGTTCTGGGAGGATTTCGACGTGAATAATACTGCATCATCGTCATCTTCCACTTACGAATACAATGAAAATACTATTGAAAAGGAGGATAAACGTGATGCATGCGAAAAACTTTTTACGTTTGGGGACCAGAGCGATCAAGAAGAGGAAGACGAAGAGGAACTAAGTACCCACGATACGGACAGTGAGCAGGAATGGCAGCCTTCCGACGAACAAAGTGAAGACGAAGAACATTCAGCTAGTACCAGTAATGAAGATGTGAATTTAAACAGAAAGGAAGTTCCAAAAGCTTTGTATGGAAAAGATAGAACAAAATGGTCTACTACTGCTCCAGTAAGAGGAAAGACTCTTGCAAAAAACATCATAAAAGTTTTGCCCGGTTTGAAAGGAAATGCAGCACAACACAAACCTCAATCTGCCTTACAAGCCTGGAAGTTGCTTCTGACAGATGAAATATTTGGACAAATTATAACTCATACTAATACAAAAATCAGATCAGTTCAAAGTCATTATGGAAAGTTCAAGAAGAAGAGCAATAGCAGGTCGGAATTTCGGCCTTCATTTATTGGTGAAACTGACAAAACAGAAATTGAGGCATTTGTTGGTCTTCTATACTTCCTTGGGTTATACAAGTCAGGCCATGAAGATTTAAGGTCCCTTTGGGCTACTGATGGAACGGGACGTGACATATTTAGATGCACGATGTCACTTGCTAGGTTCTCCTTTCTCTTATGCTGCCTTCGATTTGACGACGAACTAACACGAAAAGAAAGAATGAAAAATACCAAACTAGCCGCTTTAGGAAATCTTTTTGAAGAATTTATCCAAAACTGTAAAGGAAACTACTCACCCGGGGAATACTTGACCGTAGATGAGATGTTGGTACCGTTTCGCGGACGCTGCAGTTTTAAGATGTTTATTCCAAGCAAGCCCGCTAAATACGGTCTTAAAGTACAAGTTCTTGCAGACTCAAAAACTCATTATTTGCTAAATGCAGAAATTTATGCGGGAAAGTCGCTGGAGAAAAGTAAATGCAAATTATCTCAACCAACACAAGTTGTTCTTCGCTTGGTGGAATCGGTAATTGGAAGTAATAGAAATATCACAGGTGACAATTGGTATTCTTCTGTAGAGTTGGTAGATGAGTTAAGTAAAGTAAATGTAACCTACGTGGGCACTCTGAAAAAAAATAAAAGGTGTATTCCTAAAGAATTTTTGCCGTCTAGATTGCGTCAAGAATTTTCAACAGAGTTCGGCTTTACTTCTGGAAAAACTCTCGTTTCATATGTACCGAAGAAAAACAAGTCAGTGATTTTGATTTCCAGTATGCATAATGATTCATCTGTTGATAATGAAACAAAAAAACCGGAAATCATTTTGTTTTACAACGACACAAAAGCTGGAGTAGATGCCCTCGATCAAAAATGTTCCAATTATTCAAATTCCAGGAAAACTCGCCGTTGGCCCATGGCATTATTCCACATGATGCTAAATGTTGCAGGAATCAATTCTAGAGTATTACTTCAATTTTCTAAAAATGGAGAAGAAATAACAAGAAGGAATTTCTTGTTTAATTTAGCTCGTAGTTTATGTCAACGCCATATTATGGTTCGTATGTACAATAATAAGATTCCCCGTAAACTCAGAAGTTTGATGGCGAATATACTGGGAATTTCTCTTGATGTTGAAGCACAGTCTACTGAACGCATTCCTCCTTCCAAAAGAAAGCGGTGTGCTACTTGCCCATCTAAAAAGGACCAAAAAACTAGTACCTTCTGTGACAGCTGTAAAAATCCAGTATGTCGTAATTGTGCCAAAAACATATGCCCAAATTGTTTTTGATTTGCTTTTCAACACTTACATGTTATATTACAATATAAACGTTTGTTTACTTTTGTCAATAAAATTATTTTGATGTTGTTTTTCTTTTAAATTTAATTTTTTTTATCTGGGTCATATTGACCCTTGGGTAGTTCAAAAGTGATTGTTTTGGAAGAGTAGCTATTAAGGGTTAAACATCAAATTTCGAAAATGCTACAGCAAGACATTATTCATGCTTCAACATCACCCTTTTCATCCCCTATATGGATAGTACCAAAAAAGGAAGATGCTTCAGGCAAAAAGAAGTGGCGAATTGTAATAGATTATAGAAAACTTAATGAACGTACAGTCGACGATAAATACCCTCTTCCAAACATAATTCATATTTTAGACAAACTCGGTCGAAATCAATATTTTACGACACTTGATCTGGCTAGCGGATTCCATCAGATTGAAATGGAACCAGAAGATATTCCAAAAACAGCTTTTTCAACTGAAAGTGGTGATTGGGAATTTAAAAGAATGCCTTTTGGTATGAAAAATTCTCCAAGTACTTTCCAAAGCGTCTAGGATAACATCCTGCGTGGTCTCCAAAATGAAATATGTCTCGTCTATCTAGACGACATTGTAGTTTTCAGTAGTTCTCTTCAAGAGCATATTGTACGTTTAAGACAAGTATTTGCAAAGCTCAGAGAATCAAATTTTAAAATCCAAATGGACAAATCGGAATTGGTTCAATATTTAGGACATGTCATTACCCCAGAGGGAGTAAAACCAAACCCAGATAAAGTTTCGGCAGTAAAAGATTTTCCTATTCCTAACAATCAAAAAGAGACCAAATCATTCCTAGGTCTCGGAAATCGTTGGTGCTATGAATTTATTGTCTTTTCTTGTTACGAACAATCTTTGCGATACATTTGTGGAAGTTATAAAAATGTTAAAAATCATTGTGACAACCCCAGTGACCACAGCAGAATCAGAACGTTGTTTTTCAACTCTTAAACGCATAAAGACATTTTTAAGAACCTTTTAACCTAACCTAATTTTACTGCATGTGTAGAAATATGCTCACCATGCGGTGTTGGCAATACGCACATGGGCATATTGCTAGCTCTTCGCGAATAAGTAAATCATTGGTGTAAAAAATGCCGTCGCAGCTGTGCAGGAGGGTGGATGTCTCGTCAAGGTGCTTCAAAGGCATTTTCAATACCGAGAAGAACTCTGTCTAGATACGTTGATAGTAACCGGATTGATAAGTCAACAATGGGGCGGAAACCGGTACTGACTGCTGATCGAGAAAGAGAACTGTCTGGAAGAATGATCCGTTTGGCGGAGGTCGGCTACCCGTTAACATCACAGACACTTCGAAGGTGTGTTTTTAATTTTTGCACCGAAACCGGTATACAAAATAAATTTTATACAATGTCTCGAATGGCTGGTCGGTATTGGCTTAATGGATTTTTAAAAAGAAATCCTGAAATAAGTAAGAGAAAAGCAAGTTACAGACACCAGATATGCATAATTATAGAATTGCATTTCACATAGCTTGCACTTTTTACAGAGTTTATAAACATACCGTAATTTGCATTATATTCAGTTCTAGCTATTTCTCGGTCCGTTTCACATCAATTTTGTACGTTTTGAAAATAAAAGTTTTTTAAAAACTTATTTCGGAGTCGTACTTCCGTAAGTGACGCAGTCGCAGTAGGATCTACGTCGGGACGAGTTTCGCGAAGTTTCTATCGCAGATTACGGCGAGTACTCGGTTCGTTTTAACGTTTTACCTGACACGGACATCAAACCAGGACACTCCAAGAAGTTCCTGAAGAAGAAAAAGCCGACCAGAATAGTTGGGACTCATCCAAGGCGGATCCATCGAGGAAACCACCACCTGGAGCCTAGCGATAAGGATAGATAAGAAAACAACCACACCCACGGCAGGATCCATCGAGGAAACCACCAACGGGAGATCAAAAATAAGATTAGATTTAAGACAAATCACCACATCACAGATGAGAATCATCTTGTGGCTATCGTAAGACTCATTTCCTTTCGTAGTTTTCCCTTAGTTCCCATTATTTTTCTTATATCTACGACTAAAGCTAAAACGCTTGAAAATATAGTGTATGATAATGACGATCTTGAAACTTTAATTGAGAGAATTGCCAATTGGAATCTATACATAATGCCCGAAACAAGAGCGGCTACTGCCTCAGCTTCAGGCGTTAGAGACGTAAATATATCTTTGCTTAAATATCAGGCTGATAACATTCCACCTTTCGATGGAAATCCTAAACAATTACATAGATTTATATCTTCTTGCGAAAATTTTCTAAGAGCTTTCCAAAATACAAATAATGTGAATGATCCAATCAATATTTGTTTGCTAGATACCATTTTGAGCAAATTGAGGGATCGTGCTGCAGATTTAATTGGTTCGCGATCAGAATTAAATTCATGGGTAGCAATAAAAGATTCTCTTACTGTAACTTTTTCCGCTCAACGGAGTATTGATTGTCTTATTCAAGATTCAGTATCAATAAGACCTTTGAGAAATGAAACACCTATGCAATTTGGAATGAGAATCCAGGATGCAAGGAGTTTGCTGTTTTCAAAATTGAATACTTCCATTGAAAATGCTATGGAAAAGTTGATCAAAATTAGACATTATGACGATTTTGCTTTGAAAACTTTTATTAATGATTTGCCATACCAAATGCAATTGGTTATCCGTTTGGGAAATCCCGATTCATTTGAACAAGCGTTGTCTTTTGCACAGAAGAAGAAAATTGTATTTACTTTAGTACTGGGCGTAACCAGAACCTCCAGAGTTCCTTATACAAACCTCAACCTAGACTCAATCCTCATTTTGTCGCTAATCAACCAAATACTAATGTACTGTTACAAATGGTCCACAAGTAAGATATATTCAAACTTCATTTGTTCAAAGCTCTCAAAATTACCCGAAACCAATGATGAATACTTTCCCTGGAAATTATTCTCATAGGCCTAGTTTCAATAATAATTTTTCCTCCTAGATCTGTTTTCTAATTACCCTTCCACTTCATATGCTCAAAATCAGACACAATTCCCGAGATTCAACCAGGCTAACACATCTGTTCAACGTCCACATTTCCAACAAAACTTCCAAAGGCCACCTTTCTCTACCAATAGTCCTGCATATCCACAAATTACTGCAAGTAATAACAGTAATGTCACAACTAGGACAAGATATCCTATTCCTATGGATACGAGTTCAATCCATTCGAAACCGAATGCAAACCCATCCACCCAACACTTATTTGCTCACCAAATTGAAAATGAACAATCACCTATCAATGAAAACCAGTGCAATCCACCATATGAGCAATACGACTATCCTAATTATGATTTCTCTTATGATGTTCCAAATCAGCATTTCAACCCAATGCTTGACAATGACACATATTCACAAGAAGTTAACGACCCAACAATTGAACAACAAAATTTTTCCCATGTCCCTCCGAACATCAAACCGATATAATATATTTGAATAATATCCATACAGATCTACCTTACATTTATATTCCCGAATTAACTGCTTATTTTTTGATCGATACCCGTAGTTCCAGAAGTCTCATAGACCCCAAATTAGCGTATAAATTTTATTCAGATTATATTTCTGGCGAAAATTTCAATATTCAAACAGCTCATGGTATGACGTTCCATAACCAAGTAGCACATATTCCTGTATTCCAAATTTTCAATACTGACGATTTTCATAAATTCTACATTTTTGGCTTTTCTGATAAATATGATGGCATAATTGGTGCTGACCTATTAGAACCGCTACAAGCCAATATTGATTTAAAAAATAAAATGCTAATTACTCCTATGGCCCATATCCCCATTATTTTCGAAAATAAATCAAATTATCCGAATCCACCTAAAAAATTTCAGACTTACCAAATCACCATAGCCCCTCGTACAGAACAAGTTGTGAAAATTCCCGTGAAGTTGAATAGCGAAACAGGTGTTCTAGAGTATACAAATTTTGGTAACAAATTAGAGATGCCTCAAGCTTTGGTGAATATTTCGGATAATTTTGCTATCACTACGATTATTAATTCGAGTGAGAAAGCTCTAAATTTAGAAATCAATAATCCTTTAGATATTGAACCTATAGAAATTTTTGATGAGCATGTTCACAGTGTTAATGAAACTGATGAAAATTTTGACAAAAATTATAATAGCATATTAAAAGAATAATCTGCAAAGTTTACGTCTTGATCACTGTAATGAAGAAGAAGCGAATGCTATACACAAGCTTTGTTTAGAATTTAGAGACATTTTTCACTGCGACAATATCCCATTAAGCTTCACTAACAAAATTAAACACAAAGTTAGGTTGACCGATGATACCCCCATCTTTACAAAAAGTTATCGTTATCCAGAAATTCATAGAAATGAAGTTAAACATCAAATTTCGAAAATGCTACAGCAAGACATTATTCAAGCTTCAACATAACCCTTTTCATCCCCTATATGGATAGTACCAAAAAAGGAAGATGCTTCAGGCAAAAAGAAGTGGCGAATTGTAATAGATTATAGAAAACTTAATGAACGTACACGATAAATACCCTTTTCCAAACATATATTTTACGACACTTGATCTGGCTAGCGGATTCCATCAGATTGAAATGGAACCAGAAGATATTCCAAAAACAGCTTTTTCAACTGAAAGTGGTCATTGGGAATTTAAAAGAATGCCTTTTGGTATGAAAAATTCTCCAAGTACTTTCCAAAGCGTCAAGGATAACATCCGGCGTGGTCTCCAAAATGAAATATGTCTCGTCTATCTAGACGACATTGTAGTTTTCAGTAGTTCTCTTCAAGAGCATATTGTACGTTTAAGACAAGTATTTGCAAAGCTCAGAGAATCAAATTTAAAAATCCAAATGGACAAATCGGAATTGTTAAGGAAAGAGGTTCAATATTTAGGACATGTCATTACCCCAGAGGGAGTAAAACCAAACCCAGATAAAGTTTCGGCAGTAAAAGATTTTCCTATTTCTAACAATCAAAAATAGATCAAATCATTCCTAGGTCTCGTAGGTTACTATCGCAGATTTATTAAGGACTTTGCAAAAATTACCCGTCCACTGACACTTTGTCTTAACCCGGCGTTGGTACGGTGGGGTATAATATACCCCAACGCACTTTACCTCGTCATAACAGATCATAAATGGCCAGCAGCTTCGCGAGATTTCGTGTATCTTCGGATAAGACCTTAATAATCACGGAAACATGAAACATGAAGCGCTCAGTGGATGACTGACCGTCGCCCGTGCTATGTGCTTCACTTTGCGATTGTGCATGTGATACCCCACCGTACCGATACCGCTACATAAGAATTTTCAATCATACCCCACCGTGCACTTTTATTTTTAGTTGCTCCATTCATTTTCCAAGGTGAGTTTTTTTGTAATTTTATTTAATTTGAATTACCTCAGGTATATTTTTAGTATGTCGCACTGGGAAAAAGAGCAAGAGAGGTTATTGAAGCTATGGGAAGAAGTAGGAGCAGAAGACTCTGAAAATGAGCAACTAGAACAAGAAGCAGAAGAAAATAATGGTGAAAGCTCTACAAATTCTGATACAGAGCAAGAAATAGATGAGGAAGATATACTTCACCTGTCCGAGGCTACAACGTGCACATCAAATGATATATACATGGGAAAAGATGGAGTTACAAAATGGAGCAAAACTTGTGGAAATTTAGCTGTGAAGACAAGAGCTGAAAACATAATTTCTCATTTACCTGGAGTAAAAACAAATTTCAAAAACATCAAAGAGCCCTTGCAGATTTGGAAATGTTTTTTTACGGAACAAATGCTCTCTGATATTGTAAAATATACCAATGACAAGCTAAATGAAAAAGCAAAAAACCATAGTCGCCCTGATACTCAACATCTCACAAAACATACAACATTGGAAGAACTTCAAGCATTTTTGGGACTTCTATATGTAGCTGGTGTTTTAAAGTCGGCAAGACAAAATTTGGACGACCTATGGTCTACTGATGGTTTGGGAGTTGATATCTTCAGGTCAACAATGTGTAAAAAAAGATTTAGTTTGTTGCTACAATGTTTACGGTTTGACAGAAGTGCAACACGACCAGAAAGGCGCCAGCTGGATAAGCTTGCACCCATCAAAGCAATTTTTGACAGGTTTGTGGAAAACTCTCTCGCTGTATATACTCCCAGTGAATACGTTACAGTTGACGAAAAGCTTGAAGCATTTAGAGGCAGGTGTTCTTTTCGCCAGTTTATCCCAAACAAACCGGCAAAATATGGAATCAAGAGCTTTGCATTGGTAGATGCCCGAACATTCTACGTCTTGAATCAAGAAGTTTATGTTGGCAAGCAGCCATCTGGTCCATTTGAACAAAGTAACAAACCAGAGGATATAGTTTTACGCCTTTGTAAGCCGATTCAAAAGTCTGGACGCAATATAACTTACGACAATTGGTTTGCAAGCTATTCGCTTATGACAAGACTATTGCAAGAATATAAGCTGACTTCGGTCTGTACTCTACGGAAAAATAAAAAAGAAATTCCTGTGCAGTTTTTACAGACTAAACATAGAGCGGAAAAATCATCTATAATTTGCATTTCAGAAAAATGCTACGCTCGTTTCATATGTTCCCAAAAAAGGAAAAAATGTTCTGCTTCTTTCGAGCCTACACCATTCAGACATGATAGACGAAAGCACAGGAGATGACAAAAAGCCAGAAATTATAACGTTCTACAGTTTGACAAAAGGTGGTGTCGACGTTGCAGATGAACTTTCAAGTAACTATAATGTTTCACGTAATAGTAGAAGGTGGCCCTTGACCATATTTTTTTCGTTATTGAATAATACAGCATCAATCAACGCTTTTGTGGTATACCTTTCCAATGTTGGAACTCCTATCAAACGTCGCGAATTTATCAAAGAATTGGCACTAAAAATTATTATGCCTCATATGAGAAATCGACAAAACAATCCCAGAATATCTTTATGTCTGAAAGGGAAAATGAACGAAATTACAGGTGCTTCCACTTCTGCAAATATCGTTGATTGTGAGCATCCTGGCAAAAAACAAAGAAAGTCAAAACGATGTTATACATGTGATCGTTCTAAAGACAGGAAATCTTTCAACTGTTGTGCACTCTGCAAAGAATTTGTATGCTTAGAACATTCTATGATAACATGCGAATTATGTTTTGAACAAAAAAAAAATAATACATGATATTGTGTTAGTATAGTGTAACTTTTTCATTTCTTAGAATATAATAGCAATGTATGTATTTTAACATTGTCAAACTTTGACCTATTCCAATAAATGTTTGAATATTCATCGAAACACCAAAAAACGTAGTTTTGATGCGATGGTCTCTTACATTCTCCTTTACACATATAAATTTGATAAAAAACAGAAATGGAATAACCTACAACACCTAAATTGCACCCTTGATGGATTTCTCTTTCAATGAATGCTCATACCCTACCGTACCACTAATGTTTGTAAATGCCACCGTACCAACGCCGGGTTAAGAAAGAAACTAAAGTCGTCCACACACCCGAATTTATAAAATCTTTCGAACATTGTAAAAATCTCCTAGTAAATGCACCCATACTCTCATACCCCGATTTTGAAAAATCTTTCATTGTCACTACCGATGCCTCGAATCAAGCTGTAAGTTGTGTTTTATCTCAAGGTATCATTCCTAATGATAAACCAGTCGCTTATGCTAGTCGCACTCTAAACGAAACTGAAACTCGATATACTACTACCGAAAAAGAACTTTTGGCTATTGTATATACGTATGCTTGCAAACAATTTAGGCCTTACATATTTGGATGTAAATGTTATATATATACAGATCATCGCCCTCTAGTTTGGTTGATGAATGCTAAAGATGTTAATAGCAGACTTGTACGTTGGCGACTCAAATTATTGGACTATCAATATGAAATCATATATAAAAAAGGAAAATGTAATACTCATACCGATGCATTGTCACGTATTCATGTAAATGCAGTATAATCAGCTAGTGTCATAAATAACCCAGGTGACATTGATCAGGATATTCAAGATTATTTAAACCAGTTATTTGCCAATAAACAATCTCTCCCAGATTTAGAACAAGATACCTTAGCATTGTTAAATTCAGATCCCGGAAATCCTATTACGACTTCACAACCATTAGAGTCTTCAAGAAATATACAAATTTTACAAGATGTTTAAGTAGCTCCACCGAATAACATACAAAATAGTGTATCGCATGAATCTCCTAAAGACAGCGAAACCGAGACAGCCCACACTTGTAACGCAGAAAATAATTTCAATGATGGTATTCCTATACTAGATGAAATAATCAATAATAAGGTAACCCAAGTTATAGTTTCTAAAAATCCACACAATCAAACAGATGTCAAGCAAGAAACCTTTGATAATCATAAAATTCTTTATGTGAAAATTACAAATTCTGCTTCAGTCATAAATCAATTTCTTAGGGAATACACATCCAATGACAGAACATTTTATCTGTACTTCCATGAGGATTCACTTTATACTATGTTTAATAGCAATGAATTAAAATTGGTTAAATGTACAAAATTAATCAATACTGTCAAAGAAAAAGATTAGCAACTTATGCTGATTAAATTTCAACATGAAGGCAAGAGTAATCACAGAGGAATCAATGAAACATTAGAAAAACTCAAACGAAATTATTATTGGCCCCGCATGAAGTCCGATATCACACATTTTATTAACGATTGTGTAATTTGCCAAAAAGCCAAATATTCTAGAAATCCCCCATATATTCCACTGGTATTGACAGGAAGCATAGGAAAACCCTTCCAATTATTACATGCTGATGTCTTTACATTCAATAGTCAACATTTTCTGACGATTATTGATGCTTTTTCCAAATTAGGATAAGCAGTTCCAATCCAAGCAAAGAGCTCTGTCGAAATTTATAGAGCATTCTTACATTATTTTTTATATTATGGTCTACCTGAGCGTATTACTCTTGATAATGGTACAGAATTTAAAAATGAGACTGTTAGGGAACTCTTGAAATGTCATACAATCGATGTGCATTTTACTACACCTTTACATCAAGAATCAAATTCACCAATAGAGATTCCATTCATCACTAATTGAGCATCTCAGAATACTTTTACAAAAATTTCCAAAAGAAGCAACCACTAACCTTATCAATTACGCTTTAATAGCATATAACAGTTCATTACATTCTGCTACAAAATTCACGCCATTTGAATTGACTTTTGGGCACACTATTTCCAGAGATCCTTCGGACCTTATCGAAACTACTTTTTACTCTGACTATGCTTCAAATCATAAAGATAAAATGAAACATCTATACCAGCCGATTTCAAACGTTTTGCAGGAAAATAAAGCCAAAGTACTCGAAAAACGTAACATTCATGGTAGCTCACAATATCAGTTCAAACTAGGGCAAGTAGGGGAACAGGGGGTAAGTTGACGAACGGGGTAAGAAGACGAACGGCTTTCATTTTCAAACTAGGCGCAAATAGTGGATCGTACTACTGGCGCCACACAGCGACAATCGACAGGTATTAACATATGATCGACACGCACGCTCTGCGTTTTTAGTTTCTCTATAGTTGAGCGACGAGTGTTTTGACCTTCCTTGTTGTAATTTATCTGGGGCCTATATTAGTGATTTCTGACGGTTTGCAGGTATGTAACTCACTTTCATCTAACGTCATTAATTACTACACTTAGTAGCAACTATGACAGAAGCATTTTTGATTAATTCGGGTGCGGTAAAATATAACCTCAAAATTATTCACTTTTGTACCCATGGGGTAAGATGGCGGGGGTAAAATGACGAATTCGTCATCTTACCTCTATAATGCAAATTTTGTTTCAGAATGCCGAGAAAATATAAGCGGAAAAGTAGTAGACGGGAGTGGTCGAGTATTGCATTAATATCGGCCATGCGTGATGTAGAAGAGGGCACATTATCGTGCAATGCTGCTGCTGGAACATATGTCATTCCAGAACCGACCCTTCGGCGATATTTGAAGAAGAAAATGGAAGGCGTCGACCTACCACAGCATGCAGGCAGATTCAAGAACACTTTTAATACTGAACAAACACAATTGTTTTTCCTTAACATCGCCATCTTACCCCCTGTTACCCTACCTCACGGCACAGAAGGATACAGATGAACAGCATTTGCCGCGAGGTACGCATACTGTGCCTCAGTGACATGTCTCGACAAGCAGTATGAATCCGCGAAGTTTACATGCCAGTTGTCGTTTATACGTTAGCTAGTAAACAGTGCGTGAAATATGAGTTATGAAAAAGAGCAACGTAGGCTCCAACAATTATGGGACGAGATAATGCCGAACGAGGAGGAAGATCCTTTCGCGGGGAATGGATCCTCAGATGATTATTCACCAGAAAGTGAGACCGATAGTGACAGCGAGAAAAAACCTGTAAAACGGCTTACAAAAAGGCCAAGGCGCGACATGAATGATGTGGGGTCTAAGAAAGGAACGGACACACCTAGTGGGGATGCGCCTGTTCCAAGCACATCTGTTTTGGCAGGTATGATACCTTATTTTTACTTTTTTTGTTATGCACATGAAAGCTGGCAGAAAAGTACAATATCAAAAATGTTATAATTTATATTTTACTTGGTAGAAATAATTGCTCTTGAAACCACACAGGTTTTTTGGTACCACTGTTTCGAAATAAATGTGTGGTTTCAAGAACAATTGAAAAATTGTAAAATATAAAGTATAACATGTTTATTATTTTTTTACAGGTGAGCCCGAGGTAGATTATCGATCAAATGCTGTTGACCAAACCATAGAAGAGGTAATACGGCAAATCATTGCCGAAGAATCATCAGACAGCGCAGAAGAGCTTCCAGAAGATGAACAAGTGGGTGGAATCCAATCACTGCATCATCAGGTGTGAAGTCATTCGGTTTTACGGTACCTAAAGTAGGAGTAAATGACGATATAGTGGAACCATACTTTGGCAAAAGTCCATATGAGCTTTTCCAGTTGTTTTTCACACCTGAAATCTTGTTATTGAGACCAACAAATATGCATCTCAATTAAAACAAAAAATAAAAAAACCGAAATCTCGCGTTCATAAGTGGACTTATACGACCGAGGACGAGATAGAGCTATTTTTTGCCATATTGCTTTGGATGGGCTTGTGTCGATTTCCGTCAATGACAGACTACTGGTGTAAATCAGACATCTACAAAAACTGTATCCCAAAGTATGAGTCGAAACAGATTTCAATTGATACTACGAATGTTACATTTCTCGGATAATGAAAATGTCCCAGAAACAGGCGTCGATAAGCTTCGCAAAATTACACCGCTTCTAGATTTGCTTATCGAAAGGTATAAATATGTTATATTACCACCAGAAAATGTTTGTATTGACGAAACATTGGTGCCTTTCCGTGGACGCCTTGGCTTTCGTCAATACATAAAAAATAAAAGACAAATTTGGCATAAAAGTCTACAAGCTCTGTGTCAATGGGGGATACACGTACAACTTGTCTGTTTTTTGCGGACAATCTAAAGCTTATACTTCACTTTCTTGTTCAGAGCAGGTTGTCTTAGATCTGATGGAACCGCTTTTGAATGTTGGTAGAACCTTATACGTAGACAACTACTATACCAGTGTCAATCTCGCAAATTTATTACTAGAAAGAAAAACCCATTTAATTGGAACCCTTAGGAATGGAAGAAAACATAATAGTAAAGAGACAGAACAAACAAAAATTCGTATAGGAGAATGCATTGCTAGAATTAAAGATCCTGGGATCGTTATGCTAAAGTGGAAAGACAAAAGGGATGTTTTGGCACTTAGTAAAAAACATCTAAATGAAATGATAGCTAAACCAAGCCGAACAGATCCTGATAGAAAAGATCAACAAAAATCCTATAATACCCCCCTCAGGCGCGGTATAAAGTGGTATCACAAACTGGCAGTTGAGCTATTGTTGGGAACTACACTAGTAAATGCACATGTGGTGTATTTGTCACTAACACAAGATAAAAAAATGTATAACAGAATTCAAAAAAGATATTTTGAAGCACATTTTTGAAAAACAAACATCCCTTGAGCCTACACCTCAACCAGATCCACAAATTGATCGACATGAACTAGAGCAAACTGGCAAGCGGTTGCGTTGTACAGTATGCTACGAAAAAATGACTGCAGAGTGTGGACGTAAAGAAGCTCAAAACAAAACTTCCAGAACGACTTGATCTTGTTCAACCTGTAAAAAGCCCTACTGTGTGAACTGTTTCTTTCACTCACATAAAAGTTATTTAGCATAAGACCTATCATTATATCGACCCCTGCAACGAAGACTATAGTAACTCAAAAATCCTTACTTTTGACTTACTATAAGGTATCGATAGATATATTATGCTTCTCGTTCGAGGAAGAATATAGTATCTCAATTATGAAACCATAGGCAACCAGTATAACTTTCGTGAATTATAGTAAGTATAATCACTCACATTGCTGTCAGCGAAAAGTACATCAAGTTGAGTTACTATAGTTTTCGATGCAAAAAATCGCGGTAGGCATTCTATGTTTGGACATACTATAATCTTCGCGGTATAATTCGAGGTTATGATTATTTAAACCCAAAACGTTTTAAGTAGTAGCTGTCTGAAAATAGATAAATATAGAGAACTAGAATGAATTCTAGGACCAAAGTCATTTTGGAAAATGCAAAGAAGCTAAATGATGTATCAGGTTCAGGTAAGTTTGTCTTGTAATTATTTTATTATTTTCTAACATGGGTAATTAATTCTTTCTTTCTGGTTCATGCTTAGTATCCACATTTGCCTGTTATGCATTGGAATCATGTTATACCTACATTGATTTTTCTCTCCTACTTATAGATTCTTACAGGTATTTATTTTTGTAGGTGCAGATAACTGTCTTATTACGGAATCTGCGTATGCTGGTGCAGTAGTCAATGTACAGGATGTGCGAGCCCCTTTGCCTGATACAGCTGTTGCTTCCAGCAACCACCCTGCAGAGGACCCTATAGAAGTTGGATTTAATTTTGTACAAACAGATCCATCAGTAGTACTTCTTGATACACCTCATGACATTACGAATACGGAAGGAAATTTCTCAGACGACTCGGATATTGATCCTATTTATGTACCCGAAGAAACAACAGATTCTGATTCATCTATTGTGCCATTTATACCTCATGAAACCAAAAACCGAATTCAGGTGCCTAAAAAGCGTAAGATAACGCCCAAAGAAAGGAAAGGCAGAAAACGTGTAAAAAATACAAATGAGTGGATTGGTGTTCGAGCTAAGAAGGAATTAAACTTGGGCATCGAACATAAAAACCGGAAAGGTACAATTATTCCCGCCAAACAGATAAAGAATCCATGTAAAGAAAACTGCAGAAATAAATGTCGTCAAAAAATAAGTGAGGAAGAGAGAAAAGCATTGTTCGAGGAGTTTTGGAAAATAGGTGATCATTCTAGACAATGGGATTACATAGTTAGGTATGTCAAAACAGTGGAGAAGAAGCACGTAAAACGGACAGATAGCAAATCAAGACGAAATCATTCTAGAACATACCAGCTTCTTGTCAACAACAAGGTTTGTAAAACTATGTTCCTGAACACCTATGGAATATCAGAGCAGTGGGTGACGACTGCTCTAGGAAAAATTGGAGAAACTGGCACTCTTGAAGAAGATCGTCGAGGGAAGCACCTGACAAGACCAAATAAAATTGACGGAGGTGTCTTAAATGGGATAAGAGAGCACATTCAACTCTTTCCTGTGGTGCCTTCCCACTATACCAGGAAAAAATCAACAAAGATGTACTTAGAGGATGGTCTCAACATTTCAATTATGCATCGCCTCTACTTAAAGTACATGGAACAGAGAAATGCTACAGAAGTAGGAACTTTAAGACAATACAGAGAAGTTATCAATACCGAGTTCAATTTAGCATTCCATAAACCAAAGAAGGACCAATGCAGTCTCTGTGTAGCCTATCAACTAGCAACTTCGCCAGATAAGCAGAAAATACAAGAGAAGTATGAAAAACACGTTTCTAATAAGAAAGCTGCTAGAGCTTTAAAAGATGAAGATAAAGAAACTGCAATCAATGACAAGACAATTAGCGCAGCGTGCTTCGACTTACAAAAAGTTCTGGTGACACCCCAATCTGCTGTAAGCGACTTCTATTACAAAAGTAAACTCGCCACATACAACTTTACCATTTACGACATGGGAAATCATGAAGGCTATTGTTACGTTTGGCATGAAGTAATTGCGCAGAGAGGGCCAAACGAAATAAGCAGCTGTATTTTAAACTTTTTGAAAAAGCAAAAAGAGAAAGGGATAAACAAAGTTATTCTTTACTCGGACAACTGCGGTGGACAAAACCGTAACCGCTTCATTTTTTCGATGTTTTCATATGCTTCTATGGCTCTGAATCTACAGATAATCCATCGATTCCTAGAAACAGGTCACACACAAAACGAAGGGGACAGTATGCACGCCGTCATTGAAAATGCCAAAAAGCGGCAATCGGCAATTTATACCCCCGATCAATGGATTATGTTGATTCGCATGGCGAAAGTAACCGGAAGACCATACATCGTGAAAGAGATGTCTCAGAAGGATTTTTTTAGTTTCAAGTCAAAGGTAAATTCGGAAAACTGGAGTAAAGACGATTCCGGAGAAAAGCTGAAAATTAGTAAATTAAGGGAGGTACACTTCTCCTCAGACATGCCTTATGAAATGAAATTCAAGTATGACTATGCTGATGAGCTCAGTATAATAAAATTGAGGAGAAATCGAAGAAGGAGAATGAAGGAAAATTCACCTCAGGAGTTACCTTTACTATATACAAGCTTGCTTCCAGTAGATGCTAAAAAATTAAGTGGTTTACTCGATCTATGTAAGCCAAAATCAAACAGTCTTCCAAGCATCCCTGAAGCTTACCATGCTTTGTATTCTTCCCTAAAAGCTAAAGAAATAACACAAAGAGGTCAGAATACTGAAAATACACAAGTTGAGAACGATGATAGTGAAGATGAACATGGAGATGAGAATAATTTGAGTGACTCAAATTGACAATATTAAAACATACTGTATTATTTCAATAAATATCTTACTACATCTACAGTATGTGTGTTTTTTTCCTTAATTGATCCAACGAAAACTATAGTAAGTCTTCAAAATTTTTCCAAAAATATTTTTTTTTGATAACTTTGTATTGTAATATCGTTCATAACCCTTGATGTAAAAGAATTGATAGTATCTGCAAGATGCATCGGATAGAGATTATTATTTCTCTTCGATCGAAATTAGAAAGTAATTTTCAAATGCTTATATCTCAGTTCAATCAAAATTGAGTTACAATAGTCTTCGTTGCAGGGGTCAATATATAAGATGAATTTACTTCATTTGAATGCAACTTTTCCTGTAACTTCTTGTTTGTACTAATATAGATATTCATAAAGACTTTGTTTGAATAAATGTTTTACTTCAATAAATAATCTCCTTCTTTCATAATTTACACTAATCAACTGTATGTGGGTTTTATATAAAAATCTGTAGTATTTGACAAGGCTCATATAGATATATAACAAAAAAAAGGAATCAAACATATTTATCGGCGGCTTTTTGTGGTGTCTTGTCCACTGTGCCTCGCATAATCAGATTCTGTAAAATATTGGTCGGTGAGAGCCATACGCTGTGCCACAGTAAATAGAATGATAGCAGTACGTGTGGCACAAATACATGCCTCGGAACACCAACCTAACATTAAAGGGAGACACACACCGCGTACCTCACGGCAGTCAACGTGTTAACTATTGAGTTTTGGACAAAGTGTATAAAGAAATTTTGACTTAAAATAGACCAAGGAATGTAGTCTTAAGCTATGTCCATCGAGTCACGGGGCATCCTGTATTTATATTTTAGTTTTAGTTGAATATGGTTCAAGGGAGGATCTAATCTGTATTCTCTATACCACATACCTCCAGTTTTTTCTTATGATTTTATTGTAGAACCTCAAACCGGCTCGTTCTGTTTCACCACCTGTGAAGTATACTGTTAATTCACCCATAAGGCAAATATAAATAATGATTATGAGGAATTTTCACGTTTTGGATTCGTCAACAAAGCTCATTCGAGTATTGCTTATTAATCTATTTATGAGCTTACTGCACCTGAAGCAGTCAAAAAACAAAGAAGAAATATCATATCAATTGAAAAATCACTTTCAATTAACATCACATATGATTTGATTATATGGCCGAATCGACGAGATGAGCCAGTACGGTGCTTAATGTGCAAACTTTGTGGGGTGGATCCACGATTTTAGCACAGAAATACTAAGAAATGATAATAAAGTCCCGACATATGAGGACTTCTCTTTGTTCTCCCTCTTTGGCTACAGACACAGGTACCCTGGACTTATTTTTCTAGCAATCAGACTTTTCTGTAAATGATGAGTCATAGAAAGCATCTAGCCACTTGAACAAATCTGCGTAGAAAAGCTGATCTAGAATGGCCAATCTTCAACGCAGATTAAACCGGCAATGCATTCTAGTTATGCATATTTTTAATGAAGGCTGTCAGGATGCTTATGGAATACTCGAGAGAGAAAAAAACTGTTGAGTACCCTGTAAGTCGAAAACGTCTTTCCATTCTCATTCCTGAAAATTCAGTGACACTTTCTTTATCTTTCCTGTTTGATAAAAAACACTCGTTGGCTTGTAGGCGACGAGTAATGTACAGTTCTGGTACTGGGAAATTTTACTTGATGCTAGTTTTGGATTTAATATGTGGCATTGAATTATAAGCATATTTCTAAAATTATATATGATTTTATCAAATTATATTGGTCAAATCTGATCACTTCGGCACATCTTTAAAGTGAGCTTCTCAGAACTAGGTTAGAAGTATATTTACATTTAGATCTTTATTCCTTGATTGACTTTTATTAATATACGCTGATAACATAATTTCATTTAAGGCTAACCGAAGATGTCTATCAAACCGCAAAAGTAGCCAAGGTGCTTTTACTAATGAACAATGGCAAAGGCTCAGAATTTAAAGGGAATAGCTTAGCAGAAATCGAGGTGGGAGATCACATCATAGATGACGAAAATGTTGAAGAAGAAAATGTTGAAGGAGAAAACGCTGAAGAAGAAAATGTTGAGGGAGAAAATGTTGAAAAGGATAATATGGAATCCCCTACAACAAAAGATGTGTGTGAGAGGAAAGATGAAGAAGAGAGTGAAATCAACTGTACGAGAAAGAAAGATAACCGTAAGCGTTGGGAACATAAGGAAAAGCAATTAGTTTTGAAGCATTTCAAAAACCATGTTAAAAACAAAGCAGCTCCAAGAAAAAAGGAATGCCTGGACTTCATTGATGAGAACCACCCCATATTCTCTCCATCGGACTGGACTCGAATTAAAACTCTTGTTTTCAATACGTATAGGTACAAATGATACATTCTTATTTTCCATAAGACATTTAATGTGATAAACTTCTATTCTCAATAGTATTAATAAAACGACTGAAATTCCACATCGAGTACCGATTCCTTAAAACCTTGTAAATTGTGTGTACAGAAGATCCCGCATGCATCGAAAATGCCCTTAATATGCTTTGTGCGCTATTGCCAAATTCCAGGTACAATAAAGTTGGTAGTATGTATATGGCAAAAGTAATGAACTCATATACACGTCGGAGACAGATATGCGCGCCACCACAACGGGAATCTCTTGAACTCAATCTGTATAAACTGACAATTTGGGCCGATTTTTCAGGCCACCTCAAAATTCCGTCTATATCATCACGCCACCTAGGTGACCATCTTAGTGGCATAGTAACGTCGAATTTGGTCTAATAACGTATATTGTATCTGTCAAAGTTGGCCTGTATCAGCGGCCTTACAAATATATATATATATATATATATGGAGCAAGATATGTGTGCTGCGTTACAGCTGTGACAGTCCAGGGATATTTTTTTCAAAACATCGTACTAGGCGGAATCTGTCTTTAAAGCTGTTGACTTAGTTCGAAAATCTAGGCATCCATCACAACCGACAATGAGACCTCTCTTCACGAAGCTTTTAGGAGTTCCAGCGAACAAGCTGCAACACCTTAGAGACTTGATGCCTTACGTAGACCAAAGCAGCCGTCCATATTATGAACAGTTTGTCAATTCTCTAACTACATCATCAACTGCTGTTGATACTTTGAGTGATGATAGTTGTGATGAAGATGAAACCTAAATATTATAGGGGAAACCCGTCTAAAGTGGATACCCCAGGCAAAGCGAATAGTCCCCACTACTTCCAAATTTTTCGTTGGCCGGCAGCCGCGCTGTCAAATCAAGAGTCGCCTGTTGCCGCTTAGTTCGCGGAAATCACTTTGGCGCGAATTTGCGTAGCATGCCGCCATTGAGTGGACAAAGTGTGTTTCTGTACCAGAAATATTAATTTACAGAGGTAAGTGTTTCACTTATATCTATTATGTTTTTGGTGGCATGTTTTTGTTTATGCAGGGGATTCAATGCATGGTTATAGAGCTTTCAACTATGTGTAGTTGATGAACTTAGATAAACTGTTTTTTTTATGACCTGGCATAACCTCAAAGCTGTACCCGAAGGGCAAAGCGGATCGGGCAAGGCGGATACTGTATTCACTTTGCCCGGTCATGGCGTGTAATATAATTTCATACAATTTTATATTATATCAAGTATTTTTCTGTTACAGATGGTGAATAAATATAAAAAAAAGACGACGCAAGGTACTTGGAGTAGAGACGTTATGCAGACTGCAATAAATTTATGTAGGGCTGGAGAATCTATTAAAGGGACAGCCAACAAATATGGACTTGCGTATGCTACCCTTTACAGACATGTCAAAAGTGGAAACGCTTCCGCACAGCTCGGTCGATTTCGTCCTACATTCACGGAGGATCAAGAAATTGAACTGGTGACATACCTGCAAGATATGGACGCAGTTTTTTTTGGCCTTACTCGGGATGAATTCATGAGTCTAGCATTTGAGTATGCACACCGCAACAATTTGCGTTACCCTGAGAGTTGGAATAAAAATAAAAAAGCTGGAGAAGAATGGCTGCAAAGGTTTTTATCACGTCATACCAACTTGACACTAAGAACTCCAGAATCAACATCTGTAGCGAGGCTGAAAGGATTTAATCGCCGCGAAGTGAGCCATTTTTATGAAAATCTTGAATCTGCCATTGAGAAAAATAACATTGAAGCCTCCAGACTATACAATATGGACGAAACCGGAATATCAACGACCTCAAATAGGCCTCCAAAGGTTATCTCCGTAAAAGGGAAAAAACAAGTGGGTATGATTGCAAGTGCAGAACGCGGCCAATTGACAACCGTCATCGGGTGTTGTAATGCTGCTGGCAGTTTTCTTCCACCTTTCCTGATTTTTGCAAGAAAGAAGATGCAAGCAAGGCTTCTTGATGGTAGTCCTCCAGGGACTCAAGCAACGTGTACTCCTAATGGCTGGACATCAGGGGAAGTCTTCTTGAACTGGATCCATTTTTTCGTAGAGCAAGTGAGGCCAACAGCAGATAAAAAGGTTCTACTAATATTGGATAACCATGAAAGCCACAAATATTATCCTGCACTTGAGTATGCCACCAAGAATAACGTGGTAATATTATCCTTAGCACCGCATACTACAAACAAAATGCAACCTATGGATGTTGCTGTGTATGGCCCACTGAAAACGCATTTCGAAAGGGAAGTTAACATTTTCCAAAAATCTCACCCTGGCCGCATCATTAATCAGTACGATGTATCTAGATTGCTAGCACCAGCTTATCTCAAAGCTGCCGTGGCCATCAATGCAGTGCATGGATTTGAAAAACCTGGGATTTGGCCTGTAAACAAGCACGCATTTGGTGATGAGCATTTCACACCAGCCGAGGTACTTGCAGGTACATCCACTTTAAACAGTCAAGCTGGAACTTTGGCCCCAATAGAAAGCATTGATTTACCCGAGTCCGCTGTTGAAGCGTTACCTTCGATTGAACCTCAAGATCAGCCCATATCACCTTCATTTGCAAATGCCACTCAACATTCTCATTCATTCATAAACCCTATTGAAGGAGAAACCTTACAGACTATAGAATCTGTTAGTTCTTTACCTATTGCGTCATCAGGTGAAGTTGTTGCTTTAGGTGATTTTCAGTCTCAAGACGAAGTAAATATATATATTGAAGATCGACCGTGCACTCCTATTAGATCTGAAACTAAAAAAGAAAGCTATGGCAATACTGTTCCCGCCGCTTCACCCGAACCTGGATGTTCTAAGACCTACTATAGTCCTTCAGTTTTGAGACCTATTCCTCAGCCTGCTAGACCAACAACAACACGTAAACGGAGGTTACAAAGATCTAGTATACTGACGAGTACTCCAGTAAAAGAAGAGCAGAAACAGAAATTTGAAAAAGGAAAAAAGCCTGCTATGAAGCCACTAGATGATGTTTCGACGAAAACTTCTCTGAAGACTGGTAACAAAAAAACTGTTAAATCTAAAATCACTGATAAAAAAGCAAAGAGGAGTGCAAAAGAAAATGGAACTCAGAAAAAAATACGGAAATTTGATGATGTCAGCTGCATTTTCTGTGGTGAAATGTACATTGAAGAAGATGATCAGCCAACGGAAAACTGGATACAATGTAGTATTTGTACTCAATGGTGCCATGAAGAGTGCTCAGCCTTCGAAGGCAGTGACGATTTTGTTTGCGATAACTGCAAAAATTAGAAACATGTTATTTTAAATATTTTTTCCTGATTTTCAAGGTTTATTTCCTTTGTAAGTTTAATTTCAAGCCAAATAATGTTGCTATTCGCTTTGCCCTGGTATCATATTCACTTTACCCGGAATCCCGGGCAAGGTGGATAGTTAGTCACTCTTGTTAATTCGATTAATAACTTTTAATTTAATTAATATTTAGGAAGAATCTTATACAATTCCGTTAGTCCTTTAAATAAAGACTGCTTATAAATATTTGTTTTAATTTCCCCGGTTATAACTAATCTACAATAACCAAAAACAGCTTAAGGTATTCACTTTGCCCGGGTTTCCCCTACCACTCTCCAAAGTAATGTATTTTCTCAAGAATAAAATTTTGCGTTTTCATTGTATTTCATTATGTATCTTAGATAATAAAAATGGCCAAAGTTGATGAAATATATTTTTTTTTTCAGTCGAAAAAGGGCCAATGTCATTTTTTTTCAAGTTTGATTTAACAAATTGTGAACATTTCAGTCTAGCTATGAATATCATCTATTTGCTAATAACTTTACGTAATGACAATTTATAATAATATGGAAACGTGTCTACAGTTGTACACACAATTTTATGAAAACCATTCAACCCAATTATCTCAAAACCATTGTTTTTGACATTGGCCCTTTTAGAACCAAGCCACAGACTTATAATTTGAAAATATACTAAGTGACATATAAATCCGAACACCCAGTTTAAATGGTTTTATTTTAATAAAATTTTGTATAAGTATTTAATGAAGCTTAATAAGTAAATGATAAAAATTTCAAAATGATTGCACTGCTTTAAAGCCCGTTGACCTTTAATAATGTGTGGATGCACCCTGATGTGCTACGCATTCTCCAACGCGCCTAGGCATGCTTCGGATCAGGTGGTCAATGTCCTCCTGTGGTATCTCATTCCAGGCAACCACCAACTCCTCTCGAAGTGCTTCTGAGTCTGAGGAGGACGTTGCAAATTGATCAATATCCTACCCATCATATCCCACACGTGCTCAATTGGGGATAAGTTGGGAGATCTTGGTGGCCATGGTAACAATGTGATATCATTATGTTGAAAGAAGTCTATTGTGACTCTTGCAACATGTGGTCGGGCATTATCTTGTTGGAAAGTTGGATCTGCCAGGGTGTCAAGATAGGGTAAAAGATGGGGTTCTAGAACTTCGTGGATATAACGCTGCGCGTTCATGTTACCTCTGATGAAGATTAAAGGTGACCTGGAGCCATAAGCTATAGCACCCGAAACCATAACTCCAACAGTGTGACGAACATGTCTTTCAAAAAAAAACTGTGGATTCCTCCTTTCACCACGTCGCCTTCTAACCCTTACACCGACGTAATCGCCTTGAGTGGTGCAGACAACGGTCACTCTGGTATCAGGAATGGAACAGTATTGTCTTTAGTGACGAGTCTCGATTTTGTTTAGGCATGCAAGATGGTCGTGCCAGGCTTAGAAGGCGACGTGGTGAAAGGAGGAATCCACAGTTTTTTGTTGAAAGACATGTTCATCATACTGTTGGAGTTATGGGTTGGGGTGCTATAGCTTATGGTTCCAGGTCACCTTTAATCTTCATCAGAGGTAACATGAACGCGCAGCGTTATATCCACGAAGTTCTAGAACCCCATCTTTTACCCTATCTTGACACCCTGGCAGATCCAACTTTCCAACAAGATAATGCCCGACCACATGTCGCAAGATTCACAATAGACTTCTTTCAACATAATGTTACCATGGCCACCAAGATCTCCCGACTTATCCCCAATTGAGCACGTGTGGGATATGATGGGTAGGAGATTGCTCAATTTTCAACGTCCTCCTCAGACTCTAGAAGCACTTCGAGAGGAGTTGGTGGTTGCCTGGAATGAGATACCACTGGAGGACATTGAGCACCTGATCAGAAGCATGCCTAGGCGCGTTGGAGAATGCGTAGCACATCAGGGTGCATCCACACATTATTAAAGGTCAAAAGGCTTTAAAGCAGTGCAATCATTTTAAAATTTTTATCATTTACTTATTATGCTTCATTAAGTACTTATACAAAATTTTATTAAAATAAAACCATTTAAACTGGTTGTTCGGATTTATATGTCACTTAGTATATATTGTGGGAACAACTGCGCGCATCCGAAAATGTAGTGATGTGCCTAATGGAAGGACTTTTGGACGCTGGTCGGAAATTATACACCGATAATTTTTACACAAGTGTTTCTTTGGCTTCTAAATTGTTGACCAGAAGAAACCATTTGTTTTGTACTCTACGTACCAATTATAAGTAGAATCCTAAGGACGCATTGCAAAAAAAAATTGAAGCGTAAAGAAGTAGTGGCGCAAGAAAGTGATACAGGAATAGTAGTACTGAAATAGCACGACAAAAAGGAAGTCCTTGATGAAATCGAAAAACCTGAAGCTACTCTTGATTATAATAATGCAAAATCATTCATTGATATCTCCGATCAGGTCCAAGCTTATTCGCATTGTTTACGAAGAAGTACTAAATGGTACAGAAAACTAGCCATAGATAGAGTTTTTATTAGGTTATGCCATAGTGAATGCTCACATAGTTTATAAGAAGGTTACTCAGAATAGAATCTCAATTACGGATTTCCGAGAACGACTCGCTTTATGTCTGCTGGGACTCATGGAGACTAACCTAAACCAAGTTTCGAAGAAGGAAATAATGAAAAAAATTATGAGTATGTATTAGTGGAAACAGACTAGAGCTTGCGTTGTATTGTGTGTTATCGAAATCTCAAAGAAAAAGTCGGGCGAAAAGATGCGCTAAGTAAAGGATTGCGTTCCAAATGGCAATGTTCCGCTTGTAAGAGATATTATTGTATTCAATGTTTTTTTGAAGACCATTATTAAAAAAATTACCACCTAATGTACAAATATTTCTTTTTGTTGTTACTTTGTTTATTTTATCAGATTTTTCAATCCGCTCAGCTTATAAGAGTTACTTCTCATTTGTGGTCTATAGAATATTTACATTTGCCATACTTATCTGTATTACTATTTATTTATACCGTTAGTTTGTTTACTCCTGCATAAGAGTGTCAATCTGTTTAGTTTATAAGAGTTCCTTCATATGTATTTGTGTTCGTTAGAATATCCACATTTACCATAATTTACTGAATTGCTGTGTAATTACTTTGTTCATTTTTGAATGAGAACGTCTGATTATTTTTTAAGATTTACTTTTTGTTTTTGATTTGTAGAATATCCTCTTTTTGTAAAACTCTATAAACAACGTGTTTTTTAATGTTTTCATTTCCAATTGAGTATAATTTTGCATACTAGTAGGGATGTTTCATTTCCATCTTGAAATTCCATAAAAACAGCATAAAAAAGTCAGTATTCATGGACCAACATCAAGGTCTGGTCCCTCAGGCCACGTACTCTTGGTTTCCGTAAGAAAATCACATCAGCGAGGCACACGACGTGGCCAAATACCAGTATAACTGCCAGCAGTGAGACATATCATGTATGTCACGAGGCCCAAAGTGCCAAATCAGGTGCGACACAAGCATTATATCAGATGGCGCTTCACGTGTTAAATTTGCAACAATAGGTACCTAATGCCGCGCGCGTCGCACGTGTCGCCGCGTCGCTCACTCGCCAAAGTACTAGTGGTCGAGAACCATCGATAGCCTATCGATAGTTTATACCATCGAATGCTATCGATATTACATTTCAGACCATCGATAGTTTTCGATAATTATGTCTTTATTTTATTTACCAGTTTCCATAAAGTAAAGACATTCAAGTTTTATTTTTTTCATCACAACTAATCGGTTCTCTAATGTACGGTGAAAATAAATAAGAATATTCTTTTACACGAGCTCTATGAGCAGTTAGGCAACCCGAAATATGTCATTATTGTCAAAAATATCAAATGTCGTGTCAACGCTGTCAACGTCAACTGTCAAAACTTTAACGTCAACTTCAAGAAAAGAAGAAAATGGCCAACAGATTTTTGCATTATTTGCATTGCATTTTGCAAAATGGAGAAATTTATCCAAAGAGGCAAAAAAGCAACGACCAAAAAAAAAGTAAGTACATATTAAAATATTCAACATTTATACAAAACAAAACATATTTTTTAAGGTTCTCCTTCATCAACCCACTACACCCTTCTTCCGATGTTCCATGTTCATCATCATCATCATCATCTTCTTCTGATAGTTACATAAGTTATCCCACCAACGTCAATAATTGAAAAAAATACTGGAACTAAGAGACAAAAATCATCTGCAGGATGGAATTATTTTAGAAGATCCTCAGATAAAACGTTAGCCAAATGCAATACATGCGGAAAAGAATATAAGACAACTGGCAACACAAGCTACTTGTCTGATCATCTGAAAAGATTCCATCCAGTCATAAATACGCAAGATAGAGAAGAGGAAAGAATATTTGCATCAGGATCTGGTAGTACTGGTAGTTTCAGTAGGGGCAGTTCACCTTCCACATCTGCTCAATCCAGCCAAAGATCAGTGAGTCCATTTTTCAAGCAAGCAATGCTATACAACGATCAATCTTCTCGAAAGAAAAATTTGGATTTCGCTGTAGTTGACATGCTTGCACTAGACTTTCAACCTTCTACAATAAGTAGTTACAGACAAGGGATTCAAAAACTTAGTTTCTTTATTGGATCCAAGGTATGATCTACCCAGTACTTACACACTTGGTGGAAAACTACTAAATCAACGATACACTGACATACACAATAAGCTTAAAGAAGATATATCAGGTGTGGACTATGTAGCTTTAACATGTAATGGGCGGACCGCAAGAGCTACCGAGTCATATTTGACTATAACATGCCATTTTGTGTCTAATCATCAATTACATGCTGAAGTGCTACCTACAAAGCCACTGACTAATGGTGTTAATCACACTTCAGAGAATATTGCTGCTTCTATACAAGAAATCATTGATGAATGGGAAATTGATCACAACATAACTTCCATTGTAACAGATAATGCAGCCAGTATGATCAAGGCATGTGAATTATTGAAGAAAAAACATTTTCCATGCTATGCACATACTTTGAATCTTGTTGTTCAGGACAATATGAAATTGATACAACCAATTCTGAAAAAATGTAAAGACATTGTAACTTTCATTAAACAGAGCACAACTACAATGGAAATATTTAAAAAAGAACAAAATAGTGAAAAGCCTTTAAAGCTTATACAAGAGTGTCCCATACGTTGGAACAGTAGTTACTACATGATTGAGCATATTTTGAAAACCAATGAAGCAATTGGTAGAACATTGCTAAAAGTCAGAAAAGCACCTCAACCTCGTTCTGTGGATGATATTTGTGTTTTGACAGAATTAGTAGAAGTATTAGAAATTTTTAAGGAGGCCACAAAAAAAATTTCAGGTATGAAACAAAATTACTTGAGCAACCAACTATGTCATATATTATCTTGTTGTACTTTTGCAGGTTCCAAATATGTAACAATATCATTAGTAATTCCAGTTACTATGGGACTCAATAATAATTTAAAAATAACTTCAACAAATATGGAGACAGACGATGGAAAAAAATTCAGCAAGGGGCTTATTGACTCAGTTATAATTAGACTATTTCCATATGAAAACAGAACCGTGGCAAAAATAACTTCATTGTTGGACCCTAGATTAAAAAAAGAAGGCTTTCGCATTCCTGCGAATGCCTGTGCAGCCATAAATTTGTTAGATTCTGACATGATTTCCATACTGAAAAAAAAAACAGAAAAAAATGGGGGATCAAAATCAAAATATACAAGGTTTGTAATAGGACTGAGTCGATTTAAAAAAAAATATTGAGCCAATCGTTACAATTCTTTGAAAACTTTCAAAATAGGCTCCTTCTGCGTCGATGCAGCGCTGCCAGTGCGATTTCCAAGCATTGAAGGCGTCACGGAAGGCATTCTCCGGAATAGCCTTGAGAGCCGCAGTGCATGCTGCTTGGATCCCCTCTGTCGTCTCAAAATGCTTGCCTTTCATCGGCCTTTTTAGGCGAGGAAACAAAAAAAAGTTCCGGGGGCCACATCTGGGCTGTAGGGCGGCTGCGGAAGCGTGGGGATGCCGGCCTTGGTCAGGTAGCTGTCACAAGAAAGCCGGTATGAGCCGGGGCGTTGTCGTGGTGCAACTTCCAGTCGGCTGCGATGTCTTGTCGGACCTGACTGACCCTTCGTTTGAGTCTCCTGAGCACTTCCACGTAAAACTTGGCGTTGACGGTTTGTCCAGGAGGAAAAAATTCATGGTGGACGATGCCTATGATGTCAAAAAGACAATGAGCATCGTTTTCACTTTGGATTTGCTCATTCTTCCCTTTTTTGGGCGAGGAGACGCCGTCGTGTGCCACTCGGAAGAACGCCTCTTTGTCTCGGGATCATACTCAAAGATCCACGACTCGTCACCTGCGATTAAGTACGTTATTCAAAAATTGGGGGTCACTTTCATACATGCTCAAATTTTCTTGGCACACTTCCACTCGCCGCAATTTCTGGTCGTCAATGAGCACTTTTGGGACCATCTTCGCGCACACCTTGCGCATGTTCAAATGCTGTGTCACAATGTCATGAACCACATATTTTGGTAGATTTAACATCTGGGCAATTAAACGAATACTTAGTCGACGGTCTGAGTTCAAAACTTTGCGCACACGAGTCACATTATCGGTGTTTGTCGAAGTCGAAGGTCTTCCAGCACGGTCTTCATCAGCGACCTCTTCCCGGCCCTCCAAAAAGGCCTGGTGCCACCGAAACACACCATTTCTTGTTAAAACAATACCTGGGTAAGCCTGCTTGATCATATCAAACGTCTCTGTCGCAGATTTACCGAGTTTCACACAGAATTTAATCGCGTACCTCTGGTCTAACGAACGCTACATTTTCGGCTTGCACCACTCACAGAGACACGTCGCGTGAAAATGCCTGTCCTGACTCTAAAAGTGCTCGGAGACAACTGACCATCCGCTCATTCGTTAGCTAGGAACGCCCTCTACCGAATCCAGTCAGTGCGAGCACGCTCCGAAGTACAGTCATGGCGGAAGAAAATGAGTCCTATTACTTTCCGGACAAACCCTGTATCTGTACCAGAAAAACCAGGCACATCGAGTTTTTCGATACCACTAGCGGAATTTTCAATGTTGGCTCTGGCAACACTGATCGCAATGCACGTATATTTACCTACAATCGCTCCGTGCGACGGACGTGTCATCGTGATTTGTATCGCTTTATTTTTCGTAGAATATCTCCCACAAAATGGACAGATTTTTATTAAATAAACAAGTCGATAGTTCAAATGATAGTAATAAAGCATCTACTAGTGGCGGCGGGGCAGCAAAGAAGCGGAAATATCGTAAATACGATGACACCTATTTGGATTTTGGTTTTCTTCAATACAAGTACACAATGAAGAAAAACCGCAGTGTGTGCTGTGTTTGAAAATACTATCATCCGAAACTATAATCAAATCCAAGCGAATAACCAAAATATCTGTGTTATGTGCCGCGGTTATAATATGGTTCAAGATGACACACGGGTTGATGACGTCAGTTATACGAATCGCTTGAACGCGTTGGTTTTAACCGCGGTTTTGTTGCAAGTTGTTTATTTTAGAAAAGTGCGTAAATAATCTCTGATTATTTTTATTATCACTTAATAATCCGTTCTTTTTTGTCTACAACGGTGTTTGGAACGTTTAAATAAGAAACCTTTCATAATATTCATGGGAGAAATGTTTTTTTCAGAATTTTTTTCTAATGATGGAACCATGGTTGTGTAGCTATGATAACTTTCAATTCTCTAAAGTTTTCCGCATGTCAAAGAAAACATTTATTGATTTAGCAGAAATGATGAAAAAACGATGAAAAAAGATATTAGCAAAACCGTATACAGGTGGACATCATCCAGTGAGTTAAATGGCCATATTTTAATATTCTTGTGGTATATGGCTACACAGGATACTTTGTTAAACATAGTAACTAGATTGAAAGTGTTCCCAACAACAGTAATGAGTATAACTAATAAGGTGCTCCACTTTATGCTAACACTGAAGTCAGCCTGTATCAAGTTTCCCAAAAATGAAGCTGAAGTACAATAACAATATCCAATACCCGGCAAAATTCTAACTAGAAATATAAAACTACTCCTGAGTTGGGTAAATATCACAATTTTGCGGTGATAACTGAGACATATCGTCGTCCATACCGCAGACAGGCGTATCTGACAAAAAATCAAATTCGAGTTAACGGATTCAAATCAACAAGGTATAGCATATCTTCAATCCCGCAAAGTGGCGTAACGCTAAGTAGTTCGCTCATAGAGATATCAGCATAAAACTAAACGTCGTATCTCTCAGAAATGAAATACAATACACCGCAAATAGGCGTAAATGAAGATACGCCTACATGCGGTGTCCATTTTTTGCTACTCTCTCAGTGGTAACTAAGATATGTCCTTTTGACTTACAGAATACATTTTGTCCGAATTGAGTCACACCTCATCTGAAAGCGATCCCTTTGCTGCAGCCGAGATTTATAATCCGGAAGATCCGGACTATCATCAAACTTGTGAAGTTAAAAGCTGTAAAGGAGATGTGTTCAGTTCCTGCTTTCAATACTCAATTTTGTTATGTTGGAAGCATTTTGAAGATGATACCCTATCCTGCCAGGACGGACACAGGACAGTACAGAGCAGTGTACTTAGCAAAGAGAAACAGGAAGAGAGGCGCCCTGAAGATTTTTTTGTAGAAGGTTCCCAGGCAGAAGGTGATAGGAAAAAAAAGTCAAAGAACATAAAAGAAGAATTGCAAAAACGTTGAGGAATCAAGGCGAAACATATATTTCGCCTGTAACTAAGAAAATTGTGAAGGAGAAAGCGCTTTTGTATTATCTGAAAACCCAAAACATAGAACTACAAATAGCAATGCTCCACGCCGTTAGCAAACACATTATTTTTTCTTACCTCTAGAAGGTATCCGACAATTAGTTTGTTAAAAAATGTTCCTTGGGACCCTTGGGATAAGTGAGAAAGTTTGCAGAACCGCAATAAAGAAATTGAATAGAATAACGAGTGTGCTAGAAAAAGAAAATCGTGGAGGTCGACGGGAGTTACAATCATCAAGAGACATAGTCATTAGAAAAAGTATTATAGAGCACATAAATAGGTTCCCCAGAGTAGAGTCACATTACTGCCGGAAGTCCTCAACTAAACAATACCTACATGAAGATTTATCTCTGAGTACAATGTATCACATGTACAAACTGGAAGATCAACAAACAAAGGGAAGTGTTTCTTTGTATAGAAAAATTTTCAGATCCATGAACTTCTCATTTCACAAACCAAAAAAAGATCAATGTGGTCTTTGCAAGTGTTACAGAGAAGGATCGGAAGAAGTAAAGGCTAATTTGGAAAAGGAGTACTTGGCCCATATTTTAGAAAAGGAAACGGTAAGAGAAATAAAGAATAGCTGCAAAGAAAAAGCTAAAAATGATACAAAGGTGCTACGTCTGATCTCCAACAAGTTATATACTTAAAAATTTCTAATCATTGTTCCGTATTTTATAAAACACGGCTTGCTGTCTACAATCTAACTATCTATGAAGTAGCATCTCGAGAATGTTTTTGTTATACATGGAGTGAGACTGAAAGTAAACGTGGTAGCTCGGAAATATCGACTGCTGTTTATTTATTTATTTCCGAAAAACACAAACAAGGCTACAATACTGTTGACTTATTTGCTGATGGTTGTAGTGGCCAAAATAAGAATTCGATAATGGCTACCACTCTTTTATATCTTGTCAGTAATTGCTCAAACGTTAAAGAGATATCGTTAAAAATTTTTGCCTCTTGTCATGGACAAAATGAAGGCGATTCAGCACATAGTGCAATAGTTACGCTTTGAAAAATGCAGGTGAAATTATTGTGCCGAGCCAGTTATTGCCAGTCTATGCATTAGCAAGGAAGAAACAGCCATATAAGGTTCGTCCCTTAGACTATCGTAATTTTTTTGACCCCAAAAAACTCGCATCAGACTTAAGAGTATTATCTATTCGAAAAGATGATAAAGACATGGATGTGAATTGGAAAAACATGATGGAATTCAATGTGACAAGTGATAATTGCAACAAAATCTATTTCAAGACTAGCCATAAGCAAACAAACTACAGGTCCATAACCTTGAAAAGAAATGTTTCCGATATTTTAAAAAAAAGAGCTGTCTCCTCTGAACAGCGACCTATGAAAAATCACAAATAAAAAATATAATGATTTGACCTCACTTTGCCAAGGCGATAGGCCTGCCATCACTCTACCAGAACATCAACATTTTTATGATTCACTACCTCATGAGGACCAGCCATAAACGTTTTTGTATGAAATCATCTTCTTATTTTTGTTCTGTATTATCCTTGAGTTGCTTGAGTATTACCTACATCTGAGAATAAGGTGTTTTTTTATTTAATCTAATTTTATTCCATATGGAGTGAAAGTCGTATCTTCAAACCGCTAGACTATTGTAATTGTCAAGGTTACCGCAAAGAGGCGTATCTGGAAAAAAAAAATATAAAAAAATGTTTAGCTGAGAATATGAATTTCCTTTCCTCTATATACTTCTCAGAAGATGATGAACACACTGTTTAGCTATGTTATTGGAAGAAATTATGCTCATATTGTCTAAAGTAGTAAAGATATACGAAATCAAATAACTGTCGATATTCATTTCGCTTCTACTGAAAATTTATATAAAATCAGTTACGCCTGTTTGCGGTACGGACGACGATATAACAGCTGATTCATGACGTCACGGATCTTATAACCAAAATGAACCACACTCGCTTGAACGGATCGGTAAATACCAACCCAAAATGGTAAATACCATTTTCATTTGGTTATCCGCTTGAATTTGATTTAGGCTTCCAAGTAGGTTAAAGCGACATTTCGAGACAATTCATCCAACTGGCTGAAAAATCGCGTGATTTTTTTCAAAGGAAATAACAAAATTTGAATAAAACGAAAATCGTATTCACTCAGCAAGCCTCAGTACCTAAAAACGCACTGTTAGCATCATTCAAAGGAGCATACAGGGTGGCAAAAGGCAAAAAACCTCAAACTATTGCAGAAGAGCTTATTCTACCGGCAGCTCTGGACATGGTAAATATTATGGTGGTAGAATCGGCTGAAAAAATAAATTCCAAGGTACCCTTATCTAACAATACTATCAGTCGAAGAATCCATAACATAGCTGAGGATCACAATTACCAATTAATAGAAAAAATTAAAAGCAAGGAGTTCGGTTTGCAACTTGATGAGGCTACTGAGTTATGTGCTATGTACGCTTTCTGGCTGACAATATTATTGTCGAAGACCTTTTATTCTGCAAAAGCATTACCGAAAGTGCGAAAGCCCAAGACTTGTTTTAAATTTTAGACAAGTTTATTACAGAAAATTGTTTGGATAGGGAAAATTGTATCGGTATATGTACTGATGGTGCTCGATCCATGTCTGGCAGGTATGGGGGAATACAAGCGCTTATTCACCGAATGCTATGTGGACCCATTGCATCATTCATAGGGAAGCTCTTGCATCAAAATCAATGAGCCCTGAACTGAACCAAGTGCTGGAATGTGTAATCGGTGCAGTGAACTATATAAAACTAGGCCTCTAAAGGCCAGACTTCAAACTATGCATAGATATTGGAGCCGAACATACGGCCTTGCTGTATTATTGTAATTCACGTTAGCTTTGACGTGGAAATGTTTTGTTTCGTGTGTTCGAATTACACGAAGAAATTCGCAGTTTTGTACAGCAAGAACGTTATGAAAACGCCAAATATTTTGCGATCTATTTGAGAAATTGAATACTTTGAATCTCTCTTTACAGGGTAACAAGGTAACAATACGCACATTCTGAAAATATCGGAGAGGATTGCGGCATTTAGAAAGAAACTACAGTTGTGGATAAAAAAAATGAATGAAGGCGACTGTCAAGATTGCTTCCCGCAATTGTATAAATATGCGGCATCTAATGAACTGGTTATCTCACAAGACCTGATTGCTCTTTTTACGGAACATCTAGTGAAGCTCACCGAATGGTTTTTGAAGTACTTTGCAGATGATGATGTCGAAAAATTTTCGTGGATCCAAGATCCTTTTCATGCACTCCACCAAGAATTCACATCACAAGATGAAGAAAGTCTCATTGAACTCTCTTGCGACAGCAGCCTTAAAATTAGATTCAGCAGTTCCGATTTGGTGGAGTTTTGGTTATCGATCCAAAATTAATATTCAAATTTAACTTCAAAAGCATTAAGAATTTTCATTCCGTTCGCAACATCATACCTATGTGAAGCTGGATTTTCAGCTGTAGCTGTAATAAAGAACAAATATCGCTCAAGGATCAACGTGGAGCAAGAAATGAGAGTAGCCGTGTCAAGTCTTAAACGCCCCACACACACAACGATTTTTCATACTGCATGCAGTACAACATTAGTCCAAACTGCTGCAGTAACGATAAATCGTAAAGTGCGTAGGCAAATTGGATGCTTCGCAGTACGCAGTAGTCGAATCGTTCACAGTACGGAGCTTCCATAAAATATCGTATCAGCGGCCGTGTTTGAAGTAAGGTTGGAACGCAAGTTGGAACGTGTGTAGAGTCGCGACTACGGCAGTTAGGATTTTGATTGAAGAAGCCTACTTTTGTGGTTCATGCTAAAAGACAGAATATTGTTGTTATTTAATTATTATAGTTATCATGGACATTAAACAAAAATGTTTCTGGGAGGAGTTCATTGAATTATATAGGGAAAACAAATGCCTATGGGATGTAAAATCAAAAGATTATGCAAATAAGATGAAGCGAAACATGAGCTATGATATCCTATTTACCAAATTTAAGGAACTGTTTCCAGAAGGAACAAGAGAAAAAATGAAAAAGAAAATAAATAATATAAGAACATCTTTTGGACGTGAAATGAAGAAGGTAAGATGCATTTATAATTAATTTTATTTTAAAGGTGTTTAGCAAAGCTATTTTGTGTTAGGTTGAGGACTCTAAACGTACAGGATCCGGTGCTGATGCCATTTACGAGCCTTCACTTTGGTACTATGACCTATTACTATTTACAGCAGAAAGTGAAATAGGTAGAAAGGGAATATCAAACGCCCAGGAAACGGACATGGGCAGTAACGATGAGAGGAGTATGGACAATAATAAGGTATTGTTTTTGTAGTATTTATTTATTATTTTACCATATGGTCTTGAACCGAGAGCTTACCAATATTGATAAAATAGTTTTTATATGTTTCTCTTACATTCTTTGCAATAAAACTAGCGTTTGTCACCTTTGTGTTTTCCAAATTGGTCATAGTGCTCCCGGTTTGTTGTCTCCATTGTCCAGGTATTATACTGCCGTTGTTAATATCCTCACGATCGACATTTGAGATAGATGTCTTCCGCAAACAATCATGTTAGGCACAACATGCTAATATTACAATATCAATTTTGTCCACATTAATAGTGATTGGCTGTAGAAATATTCGAAACCTCGACGCCAATATCCCGAAACCATTTTCCACAACTCGACATAAACGATAATTGAATATCTTTTCTTCGTGAGCAATTTTTTTTGAGAATATGGTTTCATTAAATTTTCCAATAATGGAAATGTTTCGTCTCCAATGAGGCACCTTATCTTTTGTTCCCGGTAGTTCTGTGGGGCTTGGTATGTCTAGCTTTTTGGCGAGTAGACGCTTGCACTTGCTTGATTGTGACCATATTCCCCCATCGGAAACTCGGCCATTTGTTCCAGTATGAACATATACAAATTCATAATTTGCATTTACTATAGCAAACAGTACTACACTATATGTTCCTTTATAAATAGTTGTAGAAATATGATCCACTCTTGATTGGTTTTGTTATAAGTACAAGTTTTCTGTCGACTGCGCCCAAACAGTTATTGAATTGCCAAAGATCCTGAAATCCATTGCTTATCTCTTTCCACTCAGCAACTGTCGATGGTACCAAAAAATAAAAAAAAAGGAAAATATATTTTCCGGGTGAACACCTGTGTATCTATAGCAAGAGGTATATAAAACTACAGTTTGCCTATACAGGCATACCGCAAGATTAATTATTCTTACTGACTAACATAATGCCGATTATATTTTTTCATCAATTACGGGTATTTTCGCAACAAAATGACATTTAGTCAGGATTTGCTATTTTAAGTTCTTTCTGATTATCAAAAATTTTCCTTTTTTCAGTTTTTTTGTTTCATTTCAGAATATCTATGAAGAAACTGAAGAGGCTTTAATGTCACCCACTACACCTGCCAGTACCTAAGAAACTACAGAAAATCAGGAAGATGTCTCGCAAAGCGTATTGAGCTCCCACTCTGGAACTACAACCTCATTATTCACACCAAAATTAGGTTCACGAAAAAGGGCTCATAGACAAACGGACAAAAATTTGATGGAAACAAAAAAGTTGAAGCTTTATGATGCTGCTTATAAAGTATTGTGTGTTAACGAAGACGTTGAGGATGAAATGACCGCATTTGGTAAAAAATTTGCATTCCAGTTAAAAAACTAAATGATTCGCAACGACTAATAGTAGAAAAATTATGGTCGGATATCATATTTTACGGAGCACAGGGAAAACTTGACTTTGACTGTACAATAAACTTTCCATCAAAGAATTTGCAATAGTCTCAAATCTATAACCATAACCAACCTAACGCATTTACTTCGACAACGCCGGCCACGCAATCTACAGTGACTGGATCTTCACCACAAAATCAACAGTATTATTCTACGGAAATAAGCTATCAACCATCAGATTTGCCTCATCAAGGTCAAGAATTTACCCAGGAAAGAAACAATAAGGTATACCTGCGACAAACAAAGCCCGGCAGCTAATAAAGCCCGTACTAAATATTTTAATAAATATGCGTATGCCCTGAAATATGGCAACGTTAAGCTGTTTCCAACTATACGTCCAAGGTCACAATCAGCCCCGGCACGGCGTAGATTGAATACCGTCTGCAAAATCAGTAACAATTCGAGCGTTGTGCGGTCTACACGTATGGTTTCTAATATTTCACGAACCTATTCACTTTAATATTTCGTTAGTCAAATTTTGCTTCGCTGTAGTAAATAGTATATTGTGTTCTGCATTAACTCCGTCAAAGGTGGTGTCCTTTCTCAAAGAGAAGCTGCTCAGCGTTACAATATACCCAGGAGAACCCTTAGGAACCACCTAAAATCAGGCGTTCTAAAAAAATTGGACGATCAAGTGTATTAACTCCCGACCAAGAAAAACAGCTTTCTGAAAGAATATGTCGTCTCTGCGATATAGGAATGCCACTAACCCCATTGTTGGTACGTCGCTCTGCCTACAGATTCTGTGTTGATAATAACATTCAGCACCCATTTAATGCTTCTAAGGGGATTGCTGGTAAAGATTGGATGTACGGTTTTTTAAAACGGAATTCTCATTTGTCAAAACGCAAGGCACAACTTATGAATCCCGCACGTGCCCAAAAATTAAATAAATTTATAGCGAATGATCACTTTACCAAACTAGCCAACATTTTTGATGAAATGAATTTGCACCAAAATCCACAGAACCTTTTCAACATGGACGAAAAGGGATGCCGATTGACTATTCATCATCAACAGCAAGTTATTAGTCAGAGAGGTGCCAGACGTGTCCACCTGGTGGCTCCTGAGCATGCAGAAAACGTAACCATTGCTGGTTGTTGTAATGCTTTAGGAAACAGTATTCCACCTATGGTCATATTTAAGGGAAAAAGAGTAAAAGCTGAATATGAAGAACATTTACCACAAGGTACCTTGGTTAAAATGGCTGAAAAGGGTAGCATGACCACTCAGCTTTTCATTGAATTTCTTAGGCATCTACACCGCTACAAGGGAACAGGTAAAGTTTTACTTGTTTTTGACGGAGCTGCTAGTCACCTGGATATCTCCATAATAGAGGTTGCAGATGAATTGGATATAAAGCTGTTTTGTCTGCCTTCCAACACAACACATGAGCCTTTAGATAAAGCAGTTTATCGTTCGTTTGAATATCACTGGGACCAAGAGGTGCTCCGATTTTGGGATGTTAATCCAGATCGCCGCCTAAACAAATATCGTTTTGGCAAAATTTTGTCTAAAGTTTGGCCTAGATGTATGACTCCTGAGAATATAATAAACGGTTTTCGAGCGACAGGATTATACCCACTAGATCCAAATATAATTCCTGAATCAGCTTTCGCTCCATCGTTAACCACTGAGTGTCCTGACATTTCGGAAACCGAACAGGACAATAATCGTGAAGATATTGAAGGTAATAAAAGTAACTTCTGTCTTAAGCAGAGTAATACTATAACCGAATCTAGCGGTTCTGAATCCACCGACTCTGATATTCCTCTTAGTGCAATAAAAAGATCTATCCAGCAAAAAGTTTCTGATAAGGTAAAATACTCATCTGAAACACCTAGAAAGACTCATGATTCAATTCAAATACAAACAGAAAGTCAAGATCTCAATAAGCCTTTTAATGAACTACTGACTACGCCTGAAATTTTCAGTCTGAAAGAGAACAAGGTTCCGAAAAGAAAATCCATTAACTACAAAGCACAGTTAGTAACCAAAGATCTGTTCTCTTCAACGACCTCTAAATGCGAACCCAAGCGTAAAATCAAAAAGCAACCAACAGCATCCTCATCGAAGATTCTAGTGGAAAATTGCTCTGCAAGTAATACGCCAAAAAGTGAATCTTGGTACTGTTGTGTGTGTCAAAAATCCGAACAATTAGATATGCGGTCTTGTGTGATATGTGGCACTTGGAGCCACGAAGTGTGTATCGGTTTTACAAAAGAAGACAAAGATCAGTATACTTGCTCAAGCTGTGAATAAGTGTTTTCTTTTGCAAACGTTAGTTGCTTTGATTTTTGAAAGAATTTGTTTTTTTTTTGACATTTGTTTGTGTTATTTCCATAAAAACTTATTTTATTTGATAACTTAGTAAGAAAATATCTATAGGTAACGTAAAGTTTACCGTTGATACGTATTTGTAGTTATATTCTAGGTGGGCCCTTTTAGCCGATGTCATTTTTTCATGTGGGCTTTATTAACCGAACATTCGGTTAAAAAGGCCCAGTTGCATTTTTTTCTAGCGCTTAATTCGACCTTTTGTATTAACGTCAAACTTAAGCTTTACCTTTAGTTACATTTAAGACACCTCAAACCATAGTTATTTCGATTTTTATTTGCTCATTTTGTTTTTTTTTTTATTAAATAGTGATTTTTTCCTTAGGTGGGCCTTATTTGCCGCAGGTACCTTATTGATACCCTCCTAAAAACAAATCTATCAGAATATATTTTGCTTCAACCACCTACTAAAAGTTCTGTTGAAAGGGGTTCTTAAACACATATTTTTTCCTTGCCCAGTTAAAATTTAAGTTGTTAAGAAGCTTAAAAAGTTTAAGTTAATAGATATGTATTTTTTACATTTTTCTGATATTTTGTATAGATTTGAAATACAGACATGAAATACAAAAAAAAAATGATTTTACTTACCTTTAAATAACTCGTTTTCAGTGCATCGTATATAGCCTTACACGTTTCTGGTATAATTTCACGTATCGCTTGAGGTGAAATTCCGGTTCTGAATTTCAGATCTTCATAAGAACATCCTGTCGCCAAATATCTTAATGTGGCCACTAACCTTTCTTCAGCAGATATTGCTTTTCTCATAATTGTATCTTTCTTAGTTATTTTATCATGAATTAAAGTCAACAAAGAGGTATATGTATCAGAATCCATCCTTAAGAAATTTTTGAAGTCGAGTGGCTCTTTTTCTTCAAGTTCCTTCAATAACCTAATAAGGGAATATTTGTTTCTATCCAACAACCACTGTTTACACCATTTTCTCTTTTTAGTTTGTTTCTCATCATCTTCTTCAGTCGATAAAATCGCAACTATAAAGGCTGCAGTTTTTCTTTTTGAAAGTCACGAAGACATAGCCACAAATGTTTTCGTTAAAAAATAGATACTATGAACATCACTCTAGTTACTGTGACATGCCACAATTTGATGATCTGCTGCAGTACGATGCATTGCACTGTGTGTAGGGAAAATTGCAGTACTGCAAGCAGTACCATTTTTGATACTACATACGGTTCAATATGCAGTACGATGCATTGCACTGTGTGTAGGAAAAATTGCAGTACTGCAAGCAAAACGATTTTTGATACTACATATGGTTCAATATGCAGTACACTAAATCTTTACGTGTGTGGGCCGTTTTATTCCCCGCTTCGAAAAACTGTGCCGAGATCACCAAGCTCACCCATCACATTGATTTGACGGATTAAATATTATATTTTATAATAAAAAAGTCAATTTAATATTGTAGATATGTAGATGTTTCGATTTTTTTTCCGATCTCGGTAACCTAACTACCATTACTGTAGGTACCTACCTATTTGACTGTATTTTTTTCGGGCGCCGTGACAAAATACTAAACTTGTAACTGCGCCGCGGGTTTTAAAAGATTGGGAACCATTGTTATATATAATTATATAAGTTGTGTTCATAAGTTTAAAGCTAACTTGTCAGCGTACCTACTCATGTGAGTTTTAGAAATATTAAGACAAATGGGATTCCGGATGTGATTAATATCACGGTTCTTTCGTTCCATAGATTGACATTTTTGCTATATTGTTACATTTTATAAGGAAGATTTTTATTTGTTTATTATTTTTATAATTAAAGGACACAAGGAGCTGTCAATAGTTTTTATACCGTAAAGAGGGGCTACTTTGTAACACTACAGCCTACTTTGTGACAGTGACATCTATGTTTAAATTTTCTATTTTTACCAAGTGGCTAAAGGCGGTAGTATAATTTAAATTTTATATTTCAATAGTGGACTAGGTGCGCCATCTATGCCGTTTCATCAATAGCTCCTAGTACAGCTGTGCTCCTCGTGCCAGAGCCGACTCGATAATCGAGTAAACAAGTGGATTTCGTTTTGTGTGCAAACGTGTTGGTCAGAAAATATATTAGAAGATTTTTCCACCTAGGTAGGTTTATATTAAAATACGAACGTTTTCACGCCTCAGTGTTAGAATTATATCTTTTCGATGTTATGTTTCACTTTAACACATTTTTTTAAAATTGGTTACAATTAGAGGGGCTACTTTAGACAAAAAATTGTCACAAAGTAACCCCTTGAATGTTTATGAAGGTATTATTGAAAACGCAAAATGTGTAATTTTTCAGATACAATGCCACGAGTGTATAGAAGAAAAATTGGTAGTCGCAATTACAAAAATTATACACAAGAAAAATTAGCAGAAGCTCTTCGCGAGATAAGGAGTAAACGGATTTCACTACGCGGTGCTGCAGAAAAATATAATATCCACCGAAATACTTTATGGCTGAAAATAAAAGAGAGACATAAGAACAAACCTGGACAACAAAAAGTGTTTATTGAGGAGGAATGAAATATATTTGCAACCCATGTAATTACTGTGTCAGCTTTTGGTTTTCCAGTAAGCACATTTGACCTTCGATGTGTAGTAAAGTCCTATTTGGACCGGCAGGGCAAAAATGTTAAACCTTTTAAAAACAATATGCCAGGATGTGATTGGGTCAAATCCTTTCTAAAACGACATCCACAACTTTCTCAGAGGAGTGCGTACAACATTTCACATGCTAGGGCTGCTACTGATGAAGAAATCATAAATAACTTCTTCGATAATTTGGAGGTTGAGTTAGAAGGAATTCCTGCAAGCAATATATGGAATTATGATGAGACTAACCTAGTTGATGACCCGGGACAGACAAACATAGTAACCAAAAGAGGAACTAAGTATCCTGAACGTATCAGGAACTCATCTAAAGCCTGTAACCTCATTAATGGTATGAGGAAACGCCGAGGGTCAAATAGCACCTCTTTACGTCAATTATAAATCTCAAAAATTATGGAACACCTGGACCGAAAATGGACCGCCAAACGCGCGATATAATAGGATGGCTTTAGGATGGTTTAACTATCAAATTTTTGAGGATTGGTTTTTACATCTTATACTTCCAATATTAAAACGTCAAGAAGGACGAAAGGCAATCATAGGAGACACTCTTAGTTCACACTTGAATCAGCAAGTCATTCAAGAATGTGAAGCTAATTACATTTGTTTTATAGCATTACCTCCTAATACCACGCATCTACTCCAACCACTTGACGTGGCTTTTTTCGACCAATGAAGGAAAAATGGCGTAAGATTTTGTAAATTTTGTATAAGTACTTAATGAAGCATAATAAGTAAATGATAAAAATTTCAAAATGATTGCACTGCTTTAAAGCCCTTTGACCTTTAATAATGTGTGGATGGACCCTGATGTGCTACGCATTCTCCAACGCGCCTAGGCATGCTTCTGATCAGGTGGTCAATGTCCTCCTGTGGTATCTCATTCCAGGCAACCACCAACTCCTCTCGAAGTGCTTCTAGAGTCTGAGGAGGACGTTGCAAATTGAGCAATCTCCTACCCATCATATCCCACACGTGCTCAATTGGGGATAAGTCGGGAGATCTTGGTGGCCATGGTAACAATGTGACATCATTATGTTGAAAGAAGTCTATTGTGACTCTTGCAACATGTGGTCGGACATTATCTTGTTGGAAAGTTGGGTCTGCCAGGGTGTCAAGATAGGGTAAAAGATGGGGTTCTAGAACTTCGTGGATATTCCATTGCTTTGATGGCTGTATCAGACGCAGATGGCTGTTTCTTGACCATTGATGTTGGTGAGTACGGCCGAAATAGTGACGGGAGGGCATTAAAAGAAAGTAATTTTGGAAAGAAATTAGTTAACAGCACGTTAGACTTGCCAGACCCATCTCCATTACCAGGACAAGACACAAATTTTCCATTTTATTTTGCTGCAGACGAAGCTTTTCCATTGATGTGTACTATAATGAAACCCTACCCTAAAAGAGGCTTAACAAATAGAAAAAGGGTATTCAATGGTAGGTTATCAAGAGGTCGCAAATCAGTTGAACACACAACAATTGGTCTTAATATAAATACAGTGGACAATATTGTTAAAGCAGTGTGATGATGACATAGAAGTAGAAAATGAGGAACAGCCTTATCCGAGACTCTCAAATCAAAGAAGAGCTACCAGTCCAGCAATTGCTACACGGGAGAAACTTTGTGATTTTTTTAACAGTGGACGGGTCACTTAAAGGTCAAAAACGATTTTGTGTATGAAAACAAGAAGATAACAATATTAACAGAATAAAAAGATAACTAAATAATGCCGTTAAATAAAAAAATATATTTTTCAAGGAACCACATTTTTTTATTACTTACCTCCTTCCCCAATGTCTTTTGCAATTTTCGCCCAAGCCCGTTCTTGCACATGGATCATATGATAATCCTCCCGTGTATTGTCATACAGACAGGGATTTGCCTCTACAAGGGCTACAAAATTAATGTTCAATTCGTGGTCGTCTCGCATGATTCACTCCAGGAAAAAGTAAACAAAAACCCACGTCGCGTCATCGTCACCAACCGCTTGCCAGTCGAAAATTAAACTTGCTCGAGATTAGTGGCACCAGACTGACATCACGCCACCTACAAAATGCCACGCCACCGCTACTCCATTTTGATACGCGCGTCTTCATTTGTTTATATAGGCTTTAGCGATTCCACCTGCCACTTGATCACCGCGCCACTACCACGTCACTTGCTCACCATCTCAGTGCGCGTTCTTTGAGTTTTATGAAAAAAGCGCTTTTTTGAGTTGAATCTGTTTAGATCTAGATGTGCGAATATAGATACCTGGACATACGGATCTGAGGGTAACGAGACAGCCGACACTCTGGCAAAGAGTGGGGCAGGCACACCTCTGTAGAGTTGGAAGGAAAGATCGTCCGAAACAGGGGGGGTTAACCTATTTTAAGGTAACCATTCCAACCTTAACAAAAAAAGGCACCAGAGTAACATGCTGTAGCTAAAAAGGAATAGCCTTACAGCTTTAGTGGGACTGTACACTGGTCATTGCACGTTGCGTCACCACATGAGTAAGCTAGCCATGGCGAAAAACGTTGAGTGCGCACTGTGCATGGAGGGGGACGAAACAATTGGCATGTTTTATGCAGATGCCCTGTAATTGCTAGAGTACAATAAAGGTGAGGAGGGAGTACTTGTAGGAGACAAGAAGGATATTCTCCAAATAAGTTGCTCGATTATCTCAGGAGGTTGGAATTAAAAGCCGCTACACAATTGCGCGAAAATGGAAACGAGGAAACATTTCAATTTTATATTATCCGTACATATTCATGTACAACAAACGGAAACGGTAGCGGGAACGAGATCGGAAGAGTTGGCCAAGATTCAACTTTTCCGTTCCGCTGTCACCTGCTATTTTTTCCCCACTTTACCTTACAAAAATATTTAAGCCGCAAATATGACAACTTTTGGTATTCAATCTTGTTTATAAGATAATAATAAGAAAAAATAGTGAGTTTGGCAACAGTAGATTTGTTCCGGCAACAGCAGTAAATTTTTAGCTGCAACACGTCGTTACACGCATTTTTCAATTCTCTGTAAACTTTCCATTGTGCAGCCAAAACGGTTAAAGCCACTTTATTTTTGGTAAGTACATCTTATGTAGATATATTTGGGATATGTTTTGATAATATAGCGAAGCAAATAATCGACACCAAAAAATATTATCTTTGTTTACATATAAAATGGTAATATGTGGAGGTAACTTTGGTACATGTCCCAAAGTTAGACTGCAGACGTTTGCTGTGGAATCTAATTTAAAACACATAGTGTACCAAAGTTACACTGACTCTAATTCTGTATAGCTTATGTTTATCTCTTTCAGAACTAATAATGCCTCGCAAGTCACAGCGTCTACTTGGTGCGCGAAATTATAAAAATTATACAGAAGAAAAACTTCAACAAAAAAGTATCAGATAGCGAAAAACACTTTATGGAACAAAATCCATGGAAAGCATACTCGTAGACATGGTAAGCCGACGGTCTTCTCGGAAGATGAAGAAGAATCATTCCCTGGACATTTAATTGCTTTATCTTCCTTTGGTTTTCCAGTAACAGCTGAAGACTTAAAAGTTTGTGTTAAGGCTTACTTGGATAGGCAGGAAAGAAAAGTTTCATGTTTTAACAACAGGTCCTGATCGGGTAGCTTCATTTTTAAAGCGCAGATCAGAACTTAGTCAAAGGTTATCCCAAAATATTTCGCACGCACAAGCAGGTATAGACGAGGCTGTGATTAACGAGTACTTTGATAATCTCTAAATTGAGCTGGAAGGGGTCTCTCCAGCAAACATCTATAATTACGACGAAACAAATATCGTCGATGATCCGAGCCGATCCAAAGTTATTACAAGGAGGGGGACCAAGTACCCTGAGAAGATTCGCAATTCTTCGAAAGCATGTACATCTCTTATGCTTCGCAGAAATGCCGAGGAAGATGGTCCATTAAATGCCCGTTATAACCGTACGAGTACTGGATGGTTCGACTTCCAAGTACTTGAGGATTGGTTTATTAATTTAATTCTCCCAATTCTAAAACGAAAAGAGGGTCGTAAAATTTTAATTGGGGACAACCTTAGTTCCCACCTCAATGTGGAGTTGATCAGACAGTGCGAATTGAATAATATGAGATTTATTGCACTGCCTCCAAATAGTACGCATCTCCTGCAGCCGCTGGATGTAGTATAATTCCGTCCTATGAAGAGAAACTGGAGACAAATTCTAAATGACTGGAAGAACACGGCTGAAGGATGTCGTTTTAGGGGAATACCAAAGGATACCTTTCTTAGGCTCTTAAAAACTCTGTTGACAAGATTGGAAGAGCGCAGTGCTGAGAATCTTAAATCTGGATTCAGAAAATATGGAATTTTCCCTTTTAATAAGGAAGTCGTTTTGAGTAGATTGCACGGAAATGTGGTGGCTGACGACCCTGCAATAAAAAAAGTTGTTGGCGAAAGCCTTTTGGAACATCTTGCTCAAATACGTCACGAAATCACAGCACCCCGTATTCGTAGAAGTAAGAAACTTCAAGTGTCTCTTGGTAAAGGGATAACGGTTGCTGATGTACAGAATGCCTCCTCCACGGAGCCTCCCAACAATTCGCCGCAGCCCTCCACGTCTGGAATCCAGAACATGAGGAGCATACAAGAGCCTTCTAGAGGTTCAGATTCTGACAACAGCTTACCTGTATTTGAAATAAAAAGCCAGAAATCTAAAAAAACAAAAAATGATTCACAGAGCTCAGATAGTAGCATTCAGAGTATTAAATATGCAAAAACAGACGATAGCCCTTACAATTCTGAACTGTCATATGAAGTCAGTGCCGAACCAGATAGAGTCAAAAAAATATTACACTGGAGAAATCACGAAAGCTTTTAAACTTGGAGCGATGGTCAATGTTATGACACCCTATGGAAAGCAATGGAAATGGCCAAATCACAAAGATGAAATATTTTATAGCAACCAAGAAATAATAATGGCTACAAAAACACCTGAACGTCGTGGACATCGAGAAGTTTTCGATGTTCCAGAATTAAGGAAAATATGTTTGTTTGATTTTAGATTTATTCCTTATTTAAGGCATGTCATTTTAATTTTTATTTTCTTGTGTATTCAAACTTGTAATGATTTGAAATATTAAAACTTCTTTTTTATGTACTTATCTAGCAATAAAAGCTCCTTAAGAGACTTTAATCCTGTTCTTTTGCCCCCTACTATAAATAAAAAATAGCAAAAATATGTTTTTTGCTTGCCATTTCATTTTTCTTTGGTTCAGCAATGTCTATCTTTAGGACGCAGGCCCATGACGTTGAAATATTCATATAAACAGCTAATGTACCAAAGTTATCCCAAATGGGGGGTAACATTGGGACACATTTAAGGCCAAATATGTCAACTTACAAAATAAATTAATGATGTTTTTGTGCTATTGTATTCTTGGGAGTGTTGGTACATTACCCTTCAATACTCAAAGCCCAGTTATTTTTGCAAGATCATGTTTAATTAAAAAAAAACTTGAAAAACCGTACCAAAGTTACCCCGGTTTACGGTACCTTTACAGTTAAATTTCTCGTAACCCGTTGACTATATGGCAAATTCGTATAGAAGCGAAACGATAAAGAATGTAATTTCCTACAAAATTGTTTCTATTACTTTTTTACATACGATCTATGGTTTTCGAGATTTTTGATCAAATGTCAAATGACAATGCTCCACCCCGACCATGACGCCAATTTAGACATTAGTATTAAGAAGCGATAATCTATGCCACAAAAATTTGCTATCGCGAAAATTGTAGAAAAACTATCTATTACTGGGCCTAACGATACTTCAGTCGAAGAGATTCAACAAGTAACAATTACAGTTATTTCCTTAATATAGCACCATTTAGTATCTTTTGACTTTTTTATAATTACTGGTCTAGTTCACTGTGTTTACTTAAAAATTAAATGTATTTTCAATGATGTATCTTGTCTAATAACCTCTATTTGATCAAGAATCTTTGCAAGATATTAAAAATTGAAATCAAGTGAGCATGTTATACCAAGTGTATCTGCAAGGTATGAGACACTAAGCTCCAAATTTAAGGCACCTCTACATGGTATTTTTGGTAAATAATTTCAACCAAGTATGGTTGGTTCTGGCTGGTCTGTCTACTTTCCTAAAAAAACTCATCTAGCTCTATTGCAAAGTAGGAATTAGTTATTCAATATGGGGGACAAATATCTTAAAAACCTGTCATACAGCTCAGTCAAAAATGATTCAGCTTTTGTAAATATTTACCTAAAAACAGCCTATTGCAATAATTAGACCATAATAGGTTTTAAACAGCCTAAAATAAGTTGTATATGTTTGCACCTTAAACTGTATAATACATGGCATCACTTAAACAGTTTGGTGAAATTCTCACATTCCTTTTGGCATTTTTGACAGTTCATAGTAGAGTTCCTAAAAATAATAATTAAATTATCAACACTGAAAAGATTTAGCCAAAACAATGCAGTACCTTATCAATTTTCTAAGGTTCTGATTTTCGGTATCAACTGTATGCAATTTTGTTTCCAAGGATTCAACCAATGCCTCTTTTTCCCTCAGCTGCTGTTTGAGATCGGATATAGTCTCCTCCAAAGCTTCAAATATTGCCTAAAAAACACATTTTGATGTCTGGTAGTAGAATAATCATGTGGGTTCTTCTACAACAGATTGACCATACTGAATAAAATTGAAGGAATAAGTCTATGTATTTTTTTTTTCACAAAGGTCTATTGATGATTTATATGTAAAAATGGAAATTTGACTTTCCCAGGCATTCACTGTGTCTGGGTTTCCCATAAATACAATAAAAATGTGATAACATGCAAAATTAAAACATGTGACATGTTAATAAATGAATGTGGAATTTCCAATAATAGCAATACAAAATATGATTAATATGATTTATGAACTGTGAAGGTTATCCAGAATTTTAATCTTTTAAAACTCTTATGATATAAAGCCCAAAAAGTACTTTAAAACGGGTTTCTTTCTCAGTGACACAGTTTTCATTGTATCCTGAAAAATTCAAATTATGGGACTAATGAGGTTTTTGCAGTGACTGATTCACTTAAAAAACAGATTTCTTGTAGACAAAAAGTTAAGTAAATATACTTAGTTTGTCTTCATATTTACCTTAGACTCTTCACTAGTCTCTGAATACAATGGTGGTTCATTCAAACAAAAGAAATCTTGAATTTCTTGTGAAGCAACCAAATCAGGTACAGCAAGTATAGCATTTACTAATGTTTGAAGCCCATTCACTCTTTCTTCAAGAAAGATAGGATCAAAATTGTTTTTTAACCATCGTTTCCTTGGCAAATACTGTACTACTTCTGGATAACTATTCCTGAATCTGTTACACAACCTTATGAAATCAGTATATCTTCGGAAAACATACCAGAAGTCTCCAGTTACTTTGTTTTCGACTTTCAGCTTATAAACCTGCAAAAAAAAAATATAATGACATAGAAAAAAAACACCCAGTAATAGTGAATTTATTACAACAATCTTCTGCATACATGTTTCTCTTAGGATTAGGTAAGTGACTGAAGAAAATTAGAAAAAATCCAACTGTTGAAAAAAGGGAGAAAATTAATAATCTAATGGACCTCCATGATGTCTTAGGCACTCATAAACACATCTGGTACAAACACATACCTATAAAATCTTTGTAATATACTCATTATTACCAGGTGTTTTTTTTTTCTGTCACTTAGTATGTTTTAATTGTTTTGAAGAAAACTCCTTTGTGTTTAGAAGCAGTTTTTACAGAATTACATAAAAACTCATTTAAATAAAAGAATTGGTTTTGGTTCCATTCAAACTGCTTTTTTAAGTAAATCGCTACAGAATTACTAGAGTTTCTTACTTATTATGAAACTCTTGTACATCAGATCATGGAGCTCACATTTGACTATACAGATATTCAGAAAACTCTGATTTGGAAAATTGTTACACAGGAGGTTGCATCAAAACAATGACGATATATTTGATATGCTCAAGATATACAGAGTGAATAAAAAAATACTGGCAATATTTCTGCAACAAAAACTACATGCTAAGCTACTTCAGGTCTAAAAATATTTTACTTACAGTAAACCTGGCTCTCTCTTCCATAATTTCATACCCAACAATAGGAATCTGTATATTACTTGGATCACTAGCAGCTGCATAAAAGTCTTCATTCTGATCATTTATCGTCATATTTTGAGTCACTAGAGTGATATTTGAATCACTAGGTTGCATAGAGTATTGAAAATTCCTGTATCTGAAAAATTGCATTTTACTTAATGCAACTGCAAACACTGTACTTTGTAAGGGTTGGAACTAATTGAATTAGAGGTAATTACAAATTGTTCTGGTTCATATTCTAAAAAGGCAAGTGTTTCCTGTATATGTAAAAGGATGTGCTTATATACCTGAGCGATTCCGCTAGATAATCCTCGGTATCTGAGGTAACCACTTCTTCAGCAGATTCACATTCCCCGTTTCTTTCTTTGGGAATTAAGGGATGCACCGCAGTAGAGGAGATTGCATTATTATTTGTTGTATCACACATGTTTGTAGAGTTTGTTTAGGTTGCCATCGAAGAAATTTCACTAGTTATTCGTGCATTTATTATCTAGGTTAACAACAAAAAGAAAGTTGCATAAATTGCACCATATAATTATTATAATTGCATTAATATTTATCATCAATCACACAAATAAAGCACTTTTACTAGAAAATTGTTTGGTATAAGGTTTGACATTGACACTGACATTATTGACATTTCACCGTCCGTTCTGCGTTTAGCATCTGTGGCTTAAATCAAATTCAAGCGGATAACCAAATGGAAATGGTATTTACCATTTTGGGTTGGTATTTACCAATCCGTTCAAGCGAGTGTTGTTATCAGTTTGGTTATAAGATCCGTGACGTCACGAATCAGCTGTTATATGTCATAGTTATCACCGCAAAATTGTGGTATTTACCCAACTCAAGAGTAGTTTTATATTTCTGGTTATTATTTGAAATGTGACAAGTTAGAATTTTGCCGGGTATTGGATATTGTTATTGTACTTCAGCTTCATTTTTGAGAAAAACGATACAGGCTGACTTCAGTTTTACCATAAAGTGGAGCACCTTATTAGTTATACTCATTACGGTTGTTGGGGATACTTTAAATGTAGTTCCTATGCTTAACAAAGTATCCTGTGTAGCCATATACCACAGGAATATTAAAATATGGCCATATAAACTCACTAGATGATATCCACCTGTATACGGTTTTGCTAATTTCTTTTTTCATCATTTCTGCTGAATCAATAAATGTTTTCTTTGACATGCGGAAAAATTTAGAGAATTGAAAGTTATCATAGCTACAAAGCCATGGTTAGATCATTAAAAAAAAAACTGAAAAAAACATTTTTCCCATGAATATTATGAAAGGTTTCTTATTTAAACTTTCCATATACAGTTCTAGACGAAAAAGCACCGATTATTAAGTGATAATAAAAATAATCAGAGATTATATACGCGCTTTTCTAAAATAAACAACTTGCAACAAAACCGCGGTTAAAACCAACGCGTTCAAGCGATTCGTGTAACTGACGTCATCAACCCGTGTGTCATCTTGAACCATATTATAACCGCGGCACATAACACAGAAATTTTGGTTATTCGCTTGGATTTGATTTTAGTTTCAAAAACGAATACAAGATGGCCAACATTCTAGGTTCTTCGTGTAATTCTTCGACGGCTAAGAGCCGGTCCACACGGCGCGTTGCGTTGCGTTGCGTCGTCGCAACGCAAATATTTTGACGCATAGCCGGCCACACAGGCGCTGCGCCATCACAGCGTTACTGTGACGCAGTCTTAACGTTCCGTCGGCGCAGCGACGACGCACAGGTGCGGCAAGCATTTTGTAAAAATATCGCAGTCAGTCTATAGGAAAGCATGGATCGGAAAAGACGTCTAGCATTGCTCCTATTACTGCGTCACCGCCGAAATCGACGCAAGATCACAAGACGGTATTGGGTCTGTCCTTTCATTGCATTAAGAAATAGTGATGGACAGTTTTTTTTGTTAGAATATCGGGAGCTGCTATTAGACGAAAAGAAGTTTTATAACTTTTTTAGAATGAGTGTATCCAGCTTCGAATGTTTATTGAAGTCCGTAGAACCACACATACGAAAAAACTATACTAATATGAGGAATCCAGTGGAACCAGTAGAAATGCTGGGAACTACTTTAAGGTAATAATTTATATAAGTAATTAAAAGATAACAGTTTTTGTAATTTGTTTAATTAGTAATCAACTCAAGTTTACAGATTATTTAAGAGGGACTTAATCCAGTAATTACAAATTACAAAAATCGTATTCGGTTTCTTCACTTGCTTGAGATGTTTGATCTGGAGATGTAATTGAATTATTATTATCAGAATTGAATGTACTTTGAAAATTGCTTGTTTGATACCCATATGATAATGGTTGGTGAGACGTTGATGGGCCACTCACATATGATGATGTTTGTCCATACCGCATTTCGTCTATCAAATGTATTACTTGACTTTGGAAACGGAGAGTTTGTCGGTCGGAAAAATCTTGAATTGATGGCAATATACCTCTGAAAAAGGACATATGGCGATTATCCGGCTCCTTGAGAAGTTTTAGCCCTTCTCTTTCAAACTCATCCATTTGCATTGCCCTTTTGCGCGCGACTGGAACATAGCGCGGAGAGTCGTCTGTGGTAATATCATCATTTGTAGACGTAGATTGATTGTTGATTTCTCTAGGCGAGTCTAAGCTAGATTCGGTGGCATTTTGTTCCACTCTTCTCAAAAAAAGAAGTTGATTATATAAATGATACTTTTTCAGTTTCGTAGCGCCCGAGCCCGATTTTGATGCTTCTTTTAATTTTTTTGAATATCTGAAGTAATTATCTTTTACACTTCTCCATTTCGTCATTAAATCATTACCTGCAAAACCAATAGTAAACATGATTTAATAAGTTATACATCGTGAATTACTCGATAAAATTTAATGACATATTCAGATATCGATAACAAACACTATGTGACCAACTCTGGAATCGTGAAAATATAACAGCTGTTACATACAAAAATCAATACCTACTGAATCAAAATGTATGCAACAGCTGTTATTTTTTTCGTGATTGCAGAATTAATTGGTCACGTAGAGAAAGTTGTTTGTTATCGATGTCTGAATATGTCAGTATTTTTTTTTTCGGGTATCTATCTATCTCATAAATGCATATTAAAATAATTATTTTCGTTTCAGATACCTAGGAAGTGGAAATTCAATAACCGATTTACATTTGAAATTCAAACGGGGAAAATCTACTATTGCATATATGATACAAAGAGTTTGTCGTGCTATCTGGACCAATCTTCTTCGAGACAACATCCCTGAACTGACAATTGAAAGTTTCCAAACAATAGCGAGGGATTTTGATGTAAAGGCAAATTTTCCTCACTGTGTTGGTGCCATCGACGGCAAACACATCCGTGTGTGTAATCCTGCACATAGTGGCTCACTTTTTTATAATTATAAAGCCTTTTTTTCGATTGTGTTGCTAGCTATTGTGGATTCAAATTACAAATTCGTTTTTGTCGACATCGGTGCATACGGAAAAGAATGCGATTCAACCATATTACTAAATTCTAAACTGTACGAGCTAATGATTAACAACAACTTACCACTACCTCAACCCCAGCCACTCTCTGGTAGCAATATACCAACCCCGTATGTATTTGTGGGTGACGAAGCTTTTGGACTGAGCAAACATATTATGCGTCCATATGGTGGTAAAAATCTTGACTTACAACAAAAGGTTTTCAATTATCGTCTAAGCAGGGCCAGAAGATATGTCGAATGCGCTTTTGGGATTATGGCAAACAAATGGCGCATTTTTCACAGACCGATAGACGTGTCCTATGACTTCGCTACTGACATAATAAAAGCATGTTGTGTACTACACAATTTTGTCGCTGATCGAGATGGTTTTAGACAAAGAGATACATTTGCTATAAGTGTTGATGAATTTCTCCCAATACAACCCGCAGATGAAGAACAGACAGCACCGAATGTCATAAGACAGCATTTTGCGACCTATTTTATGACTAGAGGAACTCTGCCTTGGCAACTAAAGAAGGTATAATAGTATTAAATAAAAAAACAATAAATATCTGTACTGTGAACTCACCAACTTTGTTTTTTCGTTCAGCTGTGAAATTCTCGTAATCAGGAAATAAAACTTTTGATATTTCTTCCCAGGCTTTTGTTTTTAAATTTTTATTTTTAAAATCTACGTTTGACTTGTCCCATATAATTTCCCTTTCCTGAATCAATGTAATGAAGTAATCCATGTCAATTTCTTCAATGGAATTCATTTTATCCTGCTTATAAAACTGGATACAAAAACGTAACGTACTTAAAATGAAATGAGCTTGCGTGTATCCTCTCTGTCAACGCACAAGCAACTGAGCGCTGCCGTTCCGACGTCGCACGAGTACACCCCCTCCCGCTTCGTCTCGGGGGCTGCTGTCCGTCATGTGTGCGTTGCGACGACGCAGCGCGCCGTGTGAACACCTTGGTTATTGGCATTGGCAAGGACAGCGCTGCGTCGACGCAACGCTGACGCAACGCGCCGTGTGGACCGGCTCTAAGGCTAAGCAGGAGGCCAGCAAAAGAGAATTGCCCAATCGATACTTTATGGAATACAAAAATGAAATCACCGTACTTGTATGGTGGTAAATATGCGAATCAAGGTTTGAAATTCAAATCCAATAATTACTTCTAAATATAGTTATAGTTGATCATTCATTTGATATTTCTATTCAGCATATAATGCAAAATATGCCCCCCTAAATCATGCTCCCACACATACAATGAACAGTCGCCCTGTATTAAGGTCTATTCACACGCAGTCGTGACGTAACAGTGCCGTGACGTGCCAGTGATTCTCGCTGACGTGAGCTCACAGTGTTTTCAATTCACATCGGTGAGTAGGTATACTAAGTGACATAAATATATATAAATAAATCCGAACACCCAGTTTAAAAGGTTTTATTTTAATAAAAGTTGGTGAATGTATTTATCTTACTGTAAATAACAAGTGAAAAAATTTTCAGCCTTATCAGTTGGACATTCCGGTTTTTATACTGCTTTTTTTTAATTCACTAACGCTCTAAAAATGAATATTTCAGCCGCAGTAAAGAATCAACGTTGGCGGATTTTGGTTATGGACATCCTTTACGATCGGTTACGATGCCTAGAGTACGGAGACCTGTACGATTTCGTCAACTTAGTGAGTTTGATAGGGGCCGTATAGTGGGACTTCGGGAAGCTGGACTTTCTTTTCGGGCAATTGCAGTTAGAGTGCAAAGAAGTGTAGACACTGTGGTTAGGTGTTGTCAAGCATGGCTTCAAGAAGGCCGTACGCAAAGAGCAAGGGGCACCGGACGCCGCCGTAGAACAACAGACCGTGAAGATCGCCGCCTAAGATTATTGGCCTCAAGGGACCGTTTCTCCACTACCAGGTCCATTGCAAATGAATGGTTTGCAGAATACGGAAGACCTATTGGCATGCGAAGTGTTTACCGACGAATGAGAAGTTTTGGCTTGTTTTCATACCGGCCACACTGGGTCCTCCCTTTAACTCGAGAACACCGACGTAATCGCCTTGAGTGGTGCAGACAACGGTCACTCTGGGATCAGGAATGGAACAGTATTGTCTTTAGTGACTAGTCTCGATTTTTTTTAGCCATGCACGATGGTCGTGCCAGGGTTAGAAGGCGACGTGGTGA